TTTATACAAAGGAGAGAGTGATTAAGAGAAAATGATGTTTCTCCCTCTTTCAAGAAGTGCAACAGTACTTTTGGTTTCAAAGTCCTAAATAACAATGTTGAAGCTAGTGACATAGCTTAGTAAAACAGATGTCATTTGGCAAAGTTCAAGTTAAAAAGTATTAAATGGGCTTAACTAGTTTAGAACATTTTGATAAAATAGTTTCAAATACTGTTTCACTTCTTTGTATTCCAAAATCAAGTTTTAATGCACATCATTTTTTAGTAAGAATATTACTATTTCTGGATAATTACTGTTGTTGAATTTCATAAAGTAGTTTTAAAAATTGTATCTAGTGACAAAGTAGAAATCAGTCAATGACAGTGAAGAGATCAGAAAGGTGAATATAATTCCAGTGATTTGTTATTAAAATGATTTAGAACACATGCATCATTTGGAATTCAGTGCTACCAAGGCATTTCCTGAGAAAGGTTTCCTCAGACTGAACACAGAGGAGTGGCATTCCTGCGCCATTACTAGACCTGCTCCAGGAGGTACAACACAGGTAGTGCATCCAGGAGAAAACTGGGGGCATGAGTCTTGATTTAATGAACTGAAGGAGAAGGGCATCGGAAGTTGACCATAGGAACCAAAATGATGTCTTGGTAGATGAGGAATAATAGAACCCTTCATTGGAATTGAACCTTTGTTTTAAATTACGAAAACATATATCAATTTCTATAAATAACCTCTATAAAAATTACATATGACTAAATTATAACAGGTTTTAATGACTTATCCTGTAAGCTATTTAAATATTTTAATACTATTTTAGATTGCTTACTATTTTGGGTAATTAGTATTCTTAATCAGTTAATATATTTTGGTAGACAGTCACTTTTGAGGCAAAAAAAAAAATACAAAAATTCATATCCTGTATATATTCAAGAGTTATACTGTCAAACAATATACTGAGTTTAAGAAGATTCTTCCTAATGTCTACATCTGATAGCTTTCATGCTGTATGTGCAGCTGATGATTGTAATTCAGAGGTATGACAATACACTGAATAAGGAAATGTTAAGTAGGTCTTTTTTAATACTATGTATTAATACTAGAAAAAGTGGGAGGGTATTTCAGCACTCCTGCTGTGAAGCCACACAGAGCTAGTATGGCCTTAAGCACATTTCTTTCTAAACCTCAGTTTTCTCATACATAAGATGCAGATTAGAAAGAAAACAGAGCTTACTTCACAGGTGGATATTTATCACTATCTGACACTGTATTAAATATATTTGTTTATATGCTTATTCATCATTTCCCCCAGTACAAGTTCCATGAAGACAGGTAATATAGTAACTGGTACATGGTTGGTACTCAAGAAATATTTGATGTTTGATGGTTGAATAAACGGATAAAGAAAGAGTCATTTTGTTGATAAAATAAAATAATGAATGTAAAACGTAATGCCTGTCTAATTCTCACAAATAATAAAATACTTTTAATGGTTAATATTATTATTGGTTGAAATATAAAGTTCATTTGTATGTGAATTACTAATATAACTGTGTATGTGAGTGTATGACAATTTAAATATATGTCTAGCATTCTAAATAATATCCTGATGCTGACTACTTCTACCTTCATGCATTAAGAGTGATGTGTAAAGTTTTTCATATTAATAAGCAGACAAGTAAAAAAATACATTTAAAAGTGTATATTGCTACCTTATTTATACTAGCAAAAATCAAGCAAAAAAACCTTTGTTTATCTATAAAAGTTAGATTATCCACATCAAAATAACAGATTATTTTGCAATCATTAAAAATAAAAGAATATTTATGTTTCTTAACATGGAAAAATATCTATAATAAATGACTAGAAATAGAAATCAATTTATAAACAGTAGGTAGAGCATGATACCATTTAGGTAAAATTACATATAAAGGTATGTATAGATACAGATATCTAGACCAAAAACAGATACAGAGGCTAGGGAATCAGAGCTTTGCTCACTGGGGTGGCAGGCAACTCAGAGTTGCTGAGCAGAAGAATGGTAAACCTGAGTGAGGTTGTAAGAAGATTAATCTGACAACAAAATAGTGTCTAACTCCGTTAGCAACGCAAGAACTTAAGGTCTAGATGTAATGAGAGTATTGCTGAAGAAACTTTGGTCTCAAGTCATGGATATCCTGGGGTTCAAGGTTTGAGTAAATGTGTCTATTATCAGAGTCTGGTGTGTGGCCACAGTGGAAGCTACAGCTGCTGGCAATTCCCACAAATTCTGCTGAAGGAGGAGAGGGTGGCAGTGGGGTTGGAGGTGTCACTCATCTCAGTAGTTTTCAACAAATGCTAAATGAATCTATTTAGGAATCCCCCCCACCACACCTAAACATTTATCAGTAAAGAGAACAGCTTAAGTCTTTGAAGGAACAATTCATTACCTAATTGATAGACATGACAGAAATAGAAATCCCTCTATGTCACTTTAGTATCACGGACAAATGGCCTTGAATTAGTTTTTGTAACCACACTGCTCAGAAACAGAAGAGCCTTAGTATTCTGCAGTTTTTGTACCTGTAGCATACAAAGCCAATATACTTTCAATGATACTTTTAAGTAATAGTGAAGAAACAAAAAGCACAATCTTCCCTAAGCATATGTGTAAAAAAACAACTTAGAAACAATTACAAAGCAACAACCGAACACATATAAAGTAGTATTTTGCAAACTAGATTCACAAAGATAGAATTTAAATAAGGGCAGTATTTAAAACAGGGAGGATTCTTGAGAGAGACTTCAGAGAGAGAGAGATGGTTCCTAAGAGATATGACAGACCTGGAATGAGTAGATGTGGTGTAGGACACAAAGGGGTGAGTATAGGGGTGCATGTGCCAGCAGTCCCTAGTTCTAGGATGCAGTGGGTCTTAAGATGAAGAAGCTGGACTGGATGACTTTTAAGGTCTTTTATTAAGCTAAAAACTTGTAGGATTCTGTAAGTCTCCTACCGCTCACAGCAATCACATTTACTTAGAGCAAAAAACACAAGGCCAAGTATAATAAGAAGCTAAGAAGTCAGAAAAAAGGAGAGCCATCTAGTGAAAAGACTAAAAGTTCATTATCTGTTTTAAAATGACTCAAACTAAAAAAAAAAAAAAAAAAGATAACAGACTTGAAGCTATGTAGGGCTCTAAGGCTCAAGGTGACAAAAATGCTAGTATCTAAAGAGATTAAAGACTCCTAGAGAAATCATTGACCAAACGGGAAATAGCAAGAGGACTATTGCGTTAGCCCAGGCACAAGGTGATAATTAACTAAAACCAGAGATCTAGGGATGGAAGCAGAGGAGGAACAGATATGAAAATGAGAAGTATCAATACGAAAGACACAGCAGGGGTAGCAAAGGTACACTTTCTGAAATCAATAGAGGGCGAATTCCATCTAAGCAGTCACTGACTATATAAGGAGTCCTGCAAAGGAAAGGTGTCCAGCAATCATGTTTTGGCATGTAGGAAGCTGAGCATTAATGCTAGAACTGATAAAGAATCTATTTCTACTCAGGGCAAAAGAGATGTACAACTGGAAGGGCAGCTCAAGAAGAGAGTGCATTCAGATATTAAATAAGGAATAATGTAGCTGGGCAGTAGGTTTAGTTACATAGATGTTTTAGAAGTTTTATTTATATAAGTTTGATTTAGCATCATTTAAACATACTACTGCAAAACAATGTGTACTTGAAAGCTTTTCTTTACAAGTGAGTTTTTCACATGGTTAAAATTTTTGCATAGCATTGAACACAGAAGTAGCTTAACACAGGTGAAAGAAAGATTTGAACTTAAGTGAATTTGAGACAGTAAGACTGATTAAACTTCAAACAATTTACCAAATACTCTGTTTGGAGATGGTGTGTGTATGTGCATGTGCATATGCATATTTATCCACTATGTATATATACGTATGCGTGTATATCCTGTGTATGTGGTGTTCATGTTATCTTTCTGGGTTGTAGTCAGATAAAGGTCATAGCAGATTTTGTAGAAAAAATAAGGAAGCCTAACAATATTAATGTTTATTATTTGATGACATGTACTAATGTATACCAAGCCCTGACATCATGTGCATTTTAACCATGTGCAAGCCACCATCATCTGCCCTGACTACTGTAATAGCCTCCTACCTGGACTCCCCACTACATCTCTTCTCTTCCTCTCCCCTAACCCACTTTTCACACAGAAGACACAGTGATCTTTATAAAACAGAAAGCTGTTTATAGTATGACACCTACTTAAAATCTTTGATGACTTCCCATTAGGATAAAATCTAAGCTCCTTAACAAGGCCTGCATGATTAAAAAATGACTTTGGCCCATACCATACTGTACAGCCTCTTCTGGTGTCCCAGTCTTATCAAGTGACACATTCTAGCTAAATGGCTTTATTTCTCTGAACAAGCTCAGCTTTTCCCTGCCTTGGAAGCTTCACATAAGCCATCCATTCTGCCTGTAATACTCTTTTTCTGACTCTCCACCTTGCTAATTCCTTTCTCATCCTTTACATCTATATTGAAATCCCACTTTCTCAGAGACTTCCCTAACTCCTGATGTAGATTGCCCTGTTATAATCTCTATTCCTGCCCTCTACATTTCCCTACTATTTTACAATCTCTGCAGGGGCAGAATCTGTGTCTGTTTTTTTTTCGTCATTGTATCTCCAATATTTTAGCACAATGCTCAGCACATGGTAGGCAGGTGCTCAAGAAATAACTGGATGAGAAAAGCACTAAAAGTAAGCAGTAGAATAGTTTCCTCCAGGAAAAAATCTTTCTTAAATTTTATGTAAAACAAGAAATATTTTAAAAATGTGAATTGCATAAGAACATAGGAAAGTCAAGCTAGCCTCAATTTATGGTTATTAAAATATGATTTCAATACTCGCCAGCAATGCTTTTCCGCTTTTGAACTATTGCATGATGGGGAGCAGAAGGTGACTGGAGTGAATCTGTGAGGTTTTCAGAGTCATGATTTGCGGTGGTCCTTATAAATTCCATAGCAGCCTGGAGAACTCTAAGCTGTAGTGCAACAGCCATATCTAAAAACAGAAGATACTAGAATGTTTTCAAGCTATGTGGTTATTAATTTTTTAATTGAACTGATTTTATGTATCATGACAATAATGTTTTGTTAGATATAAATTTTAAAATTTTGGTCAGCATGGGGGTGATAGTCGTAGACATTTTAAAATTCTTGTTAAAGGCAATTTTAAAGCAAATTTACAAATGGTCACTAAAAAACCTTCAATGGAAAAATATTAGCTCACAAATTTATTTCATTTTAAAAATTGTTTCAAAGAAGAGGGTTTTTTTCTATATAAGGCAAAAGTTTAACCAGCAATTATCATACTTTTTGTTTCATATTCACTTTAATAGTTACCATTAAAGAAAACAAAAGGGTATTACTATGCAACATATGCTTTTAAATTCTACTTGGTAAGAAAAATCAGTGACATCTTTCAATTATGTATTGCCAACTACTAACTACACGGTAGAATCACTTTTTCTATTTTTGTCACTTTTTCAAGCCTTTTTAGGCTTCTTTTTAAAAACTGACACATATTATCACAAAATTAATGTTAAACTTTTAGTAAAAGAGTTTCTAAGAAGAAAGAGATTGTACTCAAATAACAGGTTTGTCTATTATACAACTCCCTCCCCAAATTCGTAAAAATTAAATCTTACTTTGTGTCCTCTTGTTTTTGCTATTTTGAAGATATCCAAGCATTACAATAAGGTCTTCAATAACCCTAAAATATTGTGAGCCCGAGGAACTGCAAGCATGAATTGTAACTGCTATGAAAAGTTGCTGTATATCACACGCAAGCAATTTATATTCACTGACGGGAATGCTAAAGATAACAACACAAGAAGAAAACAGAACATTTATAAGAAAAAGAACAAATAATTTAAGACACAGCTAACCAATTTAAAAGGTTTAAATTCCTGTTTGACCAGCTTGCACTCATTCATGCAGTCATTTGATATTTATTCACACTTATTCTATGGCAAGTAACATGTAGTGTGTATGCTAGAAATAGAAATAAGATACACTTTGACACCTGTCAAAAATACATAGTTTTTCAGAAAACCGGACAAGTAAACAGATCACTATAAATAGTAAATGGTTGTAAGTGCAACACTAGAGATTAATACAAGATACTATAAGAACACACAGACAGGTTTCTAGTCCACACGAAGGATGAAGATTGTGTGGGTATGAACAGGAACATTCTGCAAAGGCTTTTCAGAGAAGGTGAATTTGACTAAATTAATTAACCTCTCTGAATCTCACTTGTATAAATTAGAGTTATCTTTAGGACTAAAAGAGGTAATAGATTTGCATTTATATTAATCACTTATAAATACCCAATAAATATGAATTAGTTACTTTTGGTCTTCAATCTTAATCTTGATAATCTACCTCAATGTATGATATTAGGCCTATAATGCTTCTCTCCATCTGGGTTTTCCAAATCAAGCAAGGGGTGGAAACTAACTCGGGCCAGTTAATAAAGTAGCATACAGGGACATTCAGTAAATACAATTTCTTGCTTTTTTTTTTTCTTTCTTTCTGTTATTATTATTATTTTTTACTTTTATTTTAGGTTCAGAGGTACACAGGAAGGCTTCTTACATAGGTAAACTCGTGTACTAAAGTACACTAATACTTAAGTTTTCCTGTTCTAAAGTATTTATCAGATGTAATTTTAAATAATAATTTTAAACTTACTTCTTTTCTAATCCATTCAGGGCTGCTACTGTATTACATAACACATAGAGTAGACCATTATCCAGCAACATATCTGCTACCTTAGAACAGGAGTTTAAAATTTGGAGAAGAAGTAAAAGAGCATTATGCAAGAGTATGTTGTCATACAGAGAGGTCTCGATTAGTCCTAGAATAGGAATGACAGACCACTTCTGAAACAGTCCCGTATTTCTCACATCTTCCAGATCAAATCTATAATAAATAATACAGTTAAGAGCATGTTAGAAACAATTAGTCACAAAACAAGTAAATATGATAGCAACTATGGGTCATTTTGTTAACTTGATTTTGAAGTCATAAAAAAAAATTGAGGGAGTAAGGATTCTTAATATGTTGTTAAGATTATAAAGTCCCTTCAATAATAGGGTAAAAGTTGTTGCTAGAAGTCCATCCCAAGATAAATACACAAACATTCACGTGAAATATGCATGCAATTTTATGGTTTTAACTGATTTATTTTAATTTATCCATGAGCCCCTTATGTCCAAAGAAACTGTTTCGGAAACAGTTTTCCAAAGCAGTTTGGAAACTGCACAGGAAAATTATTATTATTATTTTACATAGTATTTGAGAGACAGTGAACTAGTAAAAAGAAGTCTAGCAAAAGGGAATGATTCTTGAGTTCTTATCCCAATACAACTTGCCTCTGGGATGGAATGAAATTAGCTAAGTATTTTGTGCCTCATTTTCCTTATCTGTCAAAAATATGTGGTGATATATGTCCTCTTTTCTTCTCAAGGCTATTGTGAGAATCAAATAAGGTAATGCAGAACTGTTTCGTGAAAGTCAAAAGTTGTATATAAATGAAAAGTAGCATTGAAACTATCATAATAATTTAGTGAATTCTTTAAGGTCTGAATTTGTCTATCACAATAAGGAGACACACATTTCTCTCTATTCTATCACAAGCAGAAATTACAATTTAATTTCTGCCAAACTTTTGGTTTGGGAGAAAAATATTCTTTTATTTTTACACTTATTTGCTAATCCATCAGCATTCTACTAGGGTCAAAACTCGATAATCAGTGTATCCAGGAATTCTAGGTGAGGGATTTACTCCTCTCCCAGATAACCTGAAAGCTCTGAGGAGAGTAATGAGTTCCTACATGGATCCTTTATGTAATCTGTCACTGAGAATACACCAGCTATCTTTCGCTTTTTTCTTTTCTTTTTTTTTTTTTTTTTTGAGACAGAGTTTCACTCTTGTTGCCCAGGCTGAAGTGCAATTGTGCAATCTTGGCTCACTGTAGCCTCCGCCTCCCAGGTTCAAGCGATTCTCCTGCCTCAGCCTCCCAAGTAGATGGGATTACATGAATGTGCCACCATGCCTGGCTAATTTTGTATTTTTAGTGCAGACAGCATTTCATCATGTTGGTCAGGCTGGTCTTGAACTCCTGACCTCAGGTGATCCACTCGCCTCTGCCTCCCAAAGTGCTGGGATTACAGGCAAGAGCCACCGTGTCCAGCCTCACCTGTCTTTTCAGTTAATCTCCTCATGTTAATACTATATGCCAAATCTTAGCTATCACTTTCATCTGATGCAGCTTTTATTTGTTTCTAGTTTCTAACTAGTGAATGAACTATGAAGGATGAAGTTATATTAGAAAGAATATTATATGGCAAATAATACATTGATTTACCTGGAAAATTACTTTTAGCAGATTTTTTTTCTAAAGGTGACTAAAAGATTTTGTTAAGAGTGAGTTCACTAAATTTTACATTTAAGACAAAAGATCTTGCTGGGTGTGTTGGCCCACACCTATAATCCCAGCACACTGGGAGGCCAAGGCAGGAGGATGGCTTGAGGTCAGGAGTTAGAGACCAGCATGGGAAACACAGCAAGACCCATCTCCACTAAAAGTAAAAAAAATTAGCCAAGTGTGGTGGTGCATGCCTGTAATCCTAGCTACTCGAGAGGCTGAGGTAGGAGGATCCCTTTGAATCTAGGGGTACAAGGCTGCAATGAGCTGAGGCATGACTGTGTCTCTCCACACTCCAGCCTGGGGGACAGAGTGAGACACTGTCTCCAAAAAAAAAAAAAAAAAGCTGGGCATAATGGCCAAGCCTGTAATCTCACACCTGTAATCCCAGCACTTTGGGAGGCTGAGGCAGGCAGATCATGAAGTCAGGAATTTGAGAACAGCCTGGTCAACATGGTGAAAACCTGCCTCTACTAAAGATACAAACAATTAGCTGGGCGTGGTGGTGCGTGCCTGTAATCCCAGCTACTTGGGAGGCTGAGGCAGGAGAATCGCTTGAACTCGTGAGGCGGAGGTTGCAGTGAGCTGAGATTGCACCATTGCACTCCACCCTGGGCAACAGGCCGAGAAAAAAAAAAAAAAAAGACAAGATTCCCAATTATAGTGGAGGGAAGAACATACTTACTCTTCATCAAGGCCAATATGTCGACCAAAGAACATTTCAATGAAGCATTCTAACAATTCTTGAGTTCCTCGATGAAGATACAACTGGTTGGCTAGCAAGGAAAATCCACGATTCTTCAGAAATTTATCCTTTTGTTCCTTAGATGCTCTAGCAAAATATGCATCTAATAGCTAAAGAAAAACTTTAAGTCAATTTAGACAATGCATTAAAATTAAGGTATACAAATCAGTGTAACACAACTGCATTTGTAAATTATTAAGTTCATATGTACAGAAGAACATAGAAAGCTTAAAAAAATGCCATCACCACAGCAAAGCAAAAATGAATTTTTCTCTGGCTACTGCAGAATGCTAATGATGACTCTATCTTAGAGATCTTAATGATTCTCTCATGGGGAAACTGGCATTTTTAGTTGAACATGGACACCTAGTAGACTGGCAACCTTAGTTGAGTATAAGTAGAATATTTGTTCCTAATGCTGAGGGGGGAAAATCCGTAAACTATGCTCTGTCTGCAAATCTATGTATATCTGTATCTATATCTACATCTATATCTATATCTATATCTATATCTATATCTATATCTATATCTATATCTATATCTATGTCTATCCTAGAGCTCCACTTCTAGGCTTCTTGACAGATTATTTATCCTGAGCACAGGCCCGAATTTCCACCCTTCTCTAACATCTTAAATGCAACACATGTGATACCAAATTAATCCTTCCACCTCTTTCTCGCCTTTAATGATTCTCTCACAGTAGCAATAGACTCCTTTCCCTCAGACACACATCTATTTATTCCCCTACTAAAAAAACTTTCTAAGTTTACAGCATAACACTTTGTAAATACTATGTATTTATTAATACTGCCACTGCAGCACTCATCACAGAATTCCTTACATTTTACTTAGTTAAGTATGAGACTCTCCCTTCTAGACCGTGAAATTCTTGAATGTAGGAGCTTATATTATTTCCCTCTATATACTATATTGCAACTAGCTCAGGGACTTACACATGAAATGGGAGCTCAATACTAGGTTGTATTGCAAGTGATTAAACAATACCTACATCCAAACAAACTAAAGAAAATGAGAATCTTTACAAGATTATTTTAATATTGGGTTGTTTTCTAATGGAAACTATTCATATCAAGCATTTACTCATTCAATAATATACTTAGTACCTATTACACAAGATGCCCACCCTCATGAAGCTTACATTTGTGAGAAATTTAAAAAACAAGCACACAGATTAAAAAGATAATTACAAGACATAAATAGGATGCTATGATAGAATAAACAGTAAGATCAGAGGGAAGTGATTTTGATAAGATAAACAGGGAAGGTCTTTTGAAAAGGTGTCATCTAAGCTGAGACCGGAAGTAAATGTCTAAAATTTGATAGTACACTGAAAAAGAGATTTCCAATGAACCATGTGTTCCTTGTAATTTTTAACAAAACAGATTTACTAAGTGTTCAGATATGGGGATTTATTGGTAGATTTAAAAAACGTACTGATATGAACCAATATATGGAGAGGGACTTAAAACTGGATGATGCAAAAATATGGCCATGTAACCAAAAACCCCTATATCCCTAAAGCTATCAAAATAAAAAAATTAAAAAACAATGTGAGTAATAAGTAACAAACTATATTAGTTCATTATTCTAAAATATAAAAGAAAGATTCAGGTCTACTTTAATGTATATACTCAAAATTTTAAATTACATACATCTTTATTTTTCTGAATTAAAATAACATATCCAGTATTTGCCCTTACTTTAATAACACCTTGTTGTATAGCTGGTGACGGGTGGTTAATGAGGACCAAAAGTGTATCTGCTTGAATAAGCTTGTCCATCACATCTTCAAGCATAACATCAGGCAGGATAAGAAGAACCCCACTTAGGAGTTCATATAATCCACAGCATATAGGTACCAAACAGTCTTCAGTTACACTAAAATAGAGACCAAAAAAGTCTTACTAACATGATGAGAAAAGTACATGATGATTACCTCAGGAACTGTGACAAGTAGTAGCATTCTTTGACAGGTGAAACAAATGTTCATAATGTTTAAGAAATGTTTCCTAATTTAACTGTCATTAACAAATTTACCATCACTTTTTATCATTGATTTTTTTGGCCATATAGTCTACTAACACTATTCGATTCTACATCTCTGATGTCTAATACAGTAGTCACTGTTACTTATGCTATTTATTTAAAGTTAAACTAAAAATTCAGTCCCTCAGTTGCATCAGCCACATTTCAAGTGCTCAATAGGCATACGTGGCTAGCACCGACTGTATTAGACAGCATGAATACAACATGTCCATCACTGGAGAAAGTTTCACTGGACATGGCTACTTGAGATGCTATTGGAAATGTTTTTTCCACCAAGGAAGAAATAGTTTTATTAGGAGTGTAGGCATGTCAGAAAAACCCAGTTCAGTCACAGAGCAGAGAGGCAAATATTGGTACAGGGGAAGAATCTAGCATTACAGAAGATCCTCTCACGAATCAAGTGTGAAAATAAAACCTCGATCTAAATATCCTAATAAATGCTGCTGGGTTTAGCCCAGGTGAAACTTCTGGAAGCTCCTGGTGAAATGAGCGTTCTTCATAAAGGAATGCTCTCTAGCACTGCTGCATCTGAGCTCCACGTAAAGTCATGGGTCTGCGATAGCAGAAGTAGAGGAAAAGATAAGTGGGATATCTCATCACCAAAGCAAGGTCATCTGTGTCCAGGTGAGAGAGGAACCTTAAGTGTTTGGAGAGAGAACAAACTGGAGTAGCAGAAGAAAAATGGCTGAAGAAATACAACGTCTAGGCAATGTCTGTCATGACGTGGAGGACTCTGTGCAGTCTGATGTGAGCCTGTCCTGGGAAACACTGGCATTTCTTCTGAGGCCATTTTAGCTCTCTTCTGACTTCATCCAGAGAACTGCCAATGTTCGGCACCAAGACCTGCATTATAATTACCTGAGTGGAATGGAGTGACCACCCTATGACACCCGTTCCTCTTCCCTTCTGGAGCAGTCACTTGTCTCAAATAAAGTGAGATGTTACCCAGGACAGGCCCAATCTAGAAACCACTCCCACCTTCACATGAACACCAAGTGGACAGAATCATTCTCATGAGTCAAAGCTTTAGAGAAATCTTATCGTTTCTCTGTCCTGAAGAATTTTTCCTTAATAACTATAAGGAATTAAACCACGATATATACATATTTTAAATGCTACTTATGGTTTAGATTTTGGTTAAATATGGAATTCAATATTATCTAGCATTAAAATAAGGAAAAATATATCTTTCTGTTTGTTATTATTACATATATAAAGAAATAAACTTTTCTGTTTGTTATATTATAAGAAGTGGCATAATGAAGACATTTCCAGATGGGTAGAGAGTCTTTAAAGAATAGTAAAATAAAGGTGGAAGGAGTGCACAAAAACACATAAGTACCTGTGAGCACTTGCAGTTCGGATGTAATTTGGCTCATAACCAAGAGAATAGGCAAAGTTTTCCCAGTCATCAGTGTTTCTATCAACAAGACTTGGCCAACGGCCAACAGCTGCAGATCCATTCTGTGAAGGAAAGGCTAGCCCGAGGCTTGCAACAGTGCTGTGGCTTCGCTGGAAGGAGGCCAACCCCTTTAGGTGATCAGGTCGGCGTGGGCAGGACTCATCCCCAGGACTGTCATCTTCTGACCTGGGTTCTGCTCCCAACTCTTTATGATCTGCTTTGACCACTGGAAATCCCAGCACTCCTTTTGGGACATCACTGACAGAGACTTGGGCTGAAAGAACAGCTTCCATTTCACAAACAGTTTTTGCAGACTCACAGCTACTGATGAATGCATCCTCTTTGCCTTTTTTCAGTGTGTCGGAACTCCCCAAAGAATTTTGTTTCTCTGATTGGATGGCAACATAAGTATCTGCAATATTTTGTAACCTGTCAATACTACAACCCAAACTTCCAGTCAGTTTTTGTGATTGCATTAGTAGTGAAGAAGTAGGGAATACTGGTAGGCTTCTAGAACGCAGCATATGGGCGGCCATCTGTTGTGGAATAATACTAGAGGAATTCTCTCCTGGTAAGAGTAGATACAAAAATACTACTTAAAAACCTATTAAGTGGGACCACCTCTCTTTTGCATTATAAATTGCAACCAGAGCAAAAGCCCATTTATCTAGCACTGTTAAAATCCATATAGGTTAATTTTACAAGTAACTAATGCTTAAAATTCCTTTACTTTTTCTTTTTTTAAGAAAAAAAGAAACTTACCCTGACTGAAGTGCAGTGGCACTATCACAGCTTACTGCAGCCTCTAACTCCTGGGCTCCAGATAGCCTCCCACCTCAGCCTCTAAGCAGCTGGGACTACAGGCATGCACCCCTACACCTGGCTTAATGCTTAAAATTCTTAAATGCCAAAGCTATTTTTATTTTAACCACTTTTTATTAATATATTCCCAAAACATATGTCTTTTTCTGTCTTAATAAAATACAGTATTGACTGAATGATTCAGTCATTAGGATTAATGGTTCTACTGTGCTGAAATTAAGTGAATTAAGTGAAACTCAATTTACCTCAGGCTAGCAGTTACCAGGATGTAGTGGAAAGAGTGTGGGCTTTGCAACTAGATATAATTGGATTCAAATGATAGTGAGGTGGTCCAAGGTAAATCACTTAATTGTACTACAGTTTCTACAAATGTAAAATGAGGGTTCAGAATATCTACTTTGCAGGGTTGCTTTAAAGATTGAGATTATATTTGTGATGCACCTAGCATAGAGGTCAACACATAATAGGTGCTCAAAAAATGGTAGTACTTGTTGTTACTTGCCTAAACAGCCCTAGACAGTTCTCTCTCTCCTCCATTTTTGCAGTCACTTCTTGCTGCTATTAGTGAGAAGTAATAGTTTCTTTTCTTGTCACAGCTCTCTAATTTACTGCTTCTAATATTCTATGTAGGAAGACACCAGAAAAATTATTCTCATTGTAATGCATGGGATATAAGTGCATGCCATTCAAGGTGTGGTCTGTGAACCAGTAGCATGGGCATCAACACCACCTGTGGGATTGTTGGAAATTCACATTCTCAGGCTCCACCCTAGATCTACTGATACAGAATTTGTGAGGGAGGGGCCCAGGAATCAGTGTCAACAAGCTCTCCAGGTGATTCTTTTGCAGGTTAAAATTTGAGACCATGAATACAGAGTAAACAGGCATTAAGTGAACTGCTTTAGAGCATAGACTTTGTGGCAATAAAATAGCTCCATAGCTCAGAATTTTTTTCTAGTTATTTCTGGATTTTGGCTAGAGAGCTAAAGTTGCCAAAAGATTCTGTTCAAAAGATCTGGAAAAAATGGAGGTATGATTGTATTTGAAAATGTTTCAAAATGACACAGATGATTTAAAAAACAAATATGTCCTGTAAAATTCCAAATAAAACTAATTTGAAAAGGCCAGGTGCAGTGGCTCGAGCCTGTAATCCCAGCACTTTGTGAGGCCGAGGTGGGTGGATCACTTGAGCCCAAGAGTTTGAGACCAGCCTGGGCAAAAAGACAAAACCCTATCTCATTTATTTAAAAAAAAAGTTTTTTTTTTTTAAAAAGAAAAAAAAACTAATAAAAACATAGCCTTAAAATATTATTATAAAAGGGCATAAAAAGTGCTAGAGAATAACTGAAACACTTTGGGAGGAAAACAAAACTAGAGACTAATACCTACATACCTAGTTCTATCTACCTCTATTACTATCTCACCCGCACTATTTGATAATTAGGATTGAAGCCAAAGACAAGACTAGGACTGAAAATAAGAGCAATGTCCCAGTATGGAAAAGGACAGTAGTCAGGTAAGGAGAAGATGTATGGTCAGTTTGCAACTAGAAAACCTGCACCTATTCTTTTTTTCTATAAAGTAGCGATGAGACTCTGTTAAGAGTAAATTAGGAAGAGAGAAAAGTACCGCAGGCTTAAAGACTTGAATATACTTACTATGGAAACAGAAGACGATATTGATTCTGAACATACCTAAAAATTACAGGGCAGCATTTAAAGCTCTACTACAACTTTCAGCAGTACGACAGCGGTTAGACTGAGGCCAGGTTAGCATTTTCCAGTTCAAGAATACCAACAGGCCAAGGGGACAAGGAAACTGAGATAGTTTCCAACTGAATAACTGCTGAAGTTATTGGCTAATGTGACCTAGGCTGGACAGGGAAAGCGAGACAAGGGGAACTTTGGAGTGTGATTTAAAAAAAAACAAAAACAAAAAACAAAGACGGGAGGTTGTCAGTTACAGAGGATGACTGCATCCCCTTTGCCTTTTTTCAGCATGTCAGAACTCCCCCAAAGGATTCCGTTTCTCTGGTTGGCTGGAGGGCTAATGATACAGAAAGATTCTGTTCAAACGACCTGAAAAAAAAATGGAGCCACGTACAGTATTTGAAAATGTTTCAGAATGATGCATGTGATTGAAAAATAGATCACATAGATAGAATAGAGTGGGATACTGGAGTTTCACAGGTGCTTGAAAGCACTCTTGATGATGATAAAAGTCCAAGACAGATGCATGCAGAGTGGTAAGACAAAGTAGAGAAAGGGTACCCTGAGTCAAAAAATGTGAAGCTGGAGTATTGGGTGGCCATTTATCTGGCAAGTGAAGTTGTCTAGAATCATGGTTTTAGGTAGAGAGAAGAGAATAAAAGTTTTTTAAAAGCTTCTGAAGAAAATGGTAAAATAAATCAGAAGCTTGATGAAAGACAAATGACTATGATAAGAGAGGTCAGAGAATGCCAGAACAAGATAGCATGAGCCTTATCCATTTTCTCAATTCTCTTGAGGACCTGTGCTGGGTGTCTCTTGTTAGACTGAATGAGGTTGTACTATATACACTTCTAAAATATGTACAATTTAATTCTCTAAGAATATTCAGAACTAAAGTGAGAAGGCTATACTTCCATTATTGCTATTTTTACCTTCATATGGTGAAGCAGTAAAACCAGATGGGCTTATTACCATAAATCCAGGGCTCATAAGGGACCTTCCTCCACTGCTGGAATGCCTCAGGTACATGATTGACTGTACTTTCTCCTGAAAGATCTTGCCATCTAGAATCCAAATTTTTTTTGAGAGAGCAAAATTTTTAAAAAGGATAAAACAAAAATACAACTTTAAAAGCAGATCATTAAATTCAAATTTTGACAAAAAGATGTTTAAAGAGAACAATATATGGCATACTTTACACTAAGGCACATTTGATATGTGAATACGTACTCTTCACAATTTTTTAGTACAGATTTTGCTGTTGCTTATTATTTCTGGCCACATTAACTTCTATTTTCTTAATTCCAACTGTACTTACAGTTATTTCTATGGTTTAACATTTAACTGTTCACTTTTTATATGTTATTATCACCTCTCAAGGGAGACTGTTCATCTGTTCATTCCTTGAGGAAAGGACTGTGTCTTTTATTTTTATAAATCCCCATCAGTGTCTAATTGTAAAAACTAATCATTTCTGAGCTTCATACTTATAAATTCGACTGCTTGGTTTCTTAAATGGATCACAAATGCAACAAATCTAAATCTGAATCATCTTTTTGCCCTAAATTTACTCCTTCTGTTTTGTTCTTTGGGAAGTTCCCATGTGGGAACCTGGAGCCACCCTTGACTACTACCTTTCCTTTATCCATGGCAAATCAGTCACCAAGTTCTGCTGACTTTTTCTCTTTTTTTGAGACAGCCTTGCTCTGTTGCCCAGGCTGGAGTGTGGTGGCGTGATCTTTGCTCACTGCAACCTCCACCTCCCTGGTTCAAGCAATTCTCATGCCTCAGCCTCTCGAGTGGCTAGGATTACAGGCATGTGCCACCACGCCCAGCTAACTTTTTCTTTTCTTTTTTTTTTTAAGGAGAGACGAGGTTTCACTATGTTGGCCAGGCTGGAGTTGAACTCCTGGCCTCAAGTGATCCACCCACCGTGGCCTCTCAAAGTGCTGGGATTACAGGCATGAACCACCATACCTAGCGTGACTTTATTTTTTGTTTCTTGAACTCTTCTTTTCCCTACTATAGTGCTATAATTCAGGCTTTATCATCTCTCAACTGGATTACTATCAGATTTCTAAATGATATCCTTGATGAACATCTCGTCACTCTCAAATCCTCACAGCTACCAGAATTCGCTCTCTCTCGAATGTCAACTCTTGCTTAAAATCTTCCAGTGACTTTCTATGCCTCCTTATCACCTTGAATAAAATCCAAGCTTCTTGTCCACAAGAATTACCACTATTTGTCCCTAGGCCCCTCCCCAGCCTTGTTTCATAAATTACATTTCAGCAACACCACTTTCTCCCAGTTCCCTGTCAAGCTGTTTCCTTTGCCTGGAAGGCCTTTCTCTCTGATTCCCACTCATCCTTTAAGATTCAGGGCAGGCAAAACCTCCTCTGGGAAATCCCCCTCAGTCTTCATATGCTCTATGCTACCAGAAAACAAAAATGTTGACTTCCTTATCACTGTGCTTTCCATGTGGCATGATATAATCATTTCTTTATGCTCTTTCCCTTAACTAAGCTGTAAGCATCTTAAAAGAGGGGGCCATATTTTACCCATCTTTGTAACTAACCCACTTCCAGAATCTTTGTAATGTGCTGAGACTACCATAAAGTCATGCTATCTAATTTCATTTGGACCTTTACTACTGCTCATTTTATTCATTTACTACGTTTTTTTTCTTTTTTCTTCTTTTTTTTTGTTTTTTGTTTTTTGAGATAGAGGTTTGCTCTTGTCGCCCAGGCTGGAGTGCAATGGCACGCTCTTGGCTAACTGCAACCTCCGCCTCGCAGGTTCAATGATTCTCCTGCCTCAGCCTCCCAAGTAGCTGGGATTACAGGCATGTGCCACCAAGCCAGGCTAATTTTTTTGTATTTTTAGTAGAGATGGGGTTTCGCCATGTTGGTCAGGCTGGTCTTGAACTCCTGACCTCAGGTGATCTGCCTGTCTCGGCTTCCCAAAGTGCTGGGATTACAGGCGTGAGCCACCGTGCCCAGCCCCATTTACTGTATCTCTTAAAATGGCTATTGTACAACTAGTTTTACAATGTAAATTTATGACTCAGCTTTCTTGTAGGTACGTTCTTGCTTTCTTTCTTACCACATTACATTTCCCTGGTTCTTAAAAAAAACTGATTATTCCATCTTTCTCTTTTACTGATTCTTCGTTCTTGTCTTACCCTCCAACTAGTAATATTACCAGCAGTTCTTTCCTTAGCTTTCTCTTACCTTCTCTCTCTCTACTTTTCTTCAGTGGTCTCATCTGTTCTCAGAGCTTCACCTCACTTCTATGTGGACCGCTCCTTATAACCTACCCTTCCTTCTTCATGCTATAACCCTCATTCCCAATTGCCTACTAGAAAATCATATTATAAATAACTGTAGGGAACCTCAAATACAACATATATTATACAATCAAAGCCATTCTCCTTTTTCCTTAACACCCCCAGAGTCATTCCATCCTAAACTTCCTACTTCTCAATTTATCCCTCCTTTCCAGTTCCACTATTACTATGCCCAGATTCTGTTATCTTGTCTCTCATGGACTACTATAATTGGGCTCACTGCCCCTAGTTCCTTATTTCTGAATCCTGCTGCAATAATTTACTTATATCATAGCCTTTGCTCAAAACAAACAAACAAAATCCTTTCAATGACCAATAACTAAAATACAAGTTCAAATTCTCTGGCCTTACATTCAAGGACCTATTTGATATGACTTTCGGGTAAAAATAAGTAAATGGTGGTCTTAAACTATATTTATGGCATTATTTGTCACTACTTCTTTACAGATTCCCTATATATAGGTAAAACTCATTAGTCCTTATTTTTTCTTTCCATTTTTCCTCCCTTTAAAGTCACTGTCTTTACCTAGAACAGTAACTCTCCAATCTACCTATCAAATTCTACTAAAAATCTTCAGTGTCCACATCAGATGCCATGTAACCCATTAAATATTCTCTCCACAGTGGTCGGATGAAACCCTCTGTCCTTTGAAATCTCATTAGTTCTTCTTTTGTGTCTTTTCGATACTTACCAAATATATATATATATATATTTTTTACTGTAGTTATTTGAGTCTATGTCCCCTTTCTCTACTTGGCATTTAGACTCCTTGAGGGCAGAGGCCATGTCTAGTTCATTCTATAACTCTCTGCCCTATCCCAACCCCAATATGTAATTAGAGTAGCACAGAGGCCATTCAAATATCAAACAAATGTGAATCAAGTGGGAAGAATAAAACGAAAGTAGAAATAGACATGATCTAACAAAAATGACTATACCTACCTATGTGCAAAGAAAAGTAGAAGTTCGTGGGATTGTGACAAACGTAAGTATTAGTAGGAGGGTGAACTGCTAAAAGGAAATTGAAGATAATTGTCAATAATTCCAAATCTGGAGGAGATCCAAGGACTTCTGCTATAATTTTCACAAATGATCTACAAACCTCTCGGGGCATGGGTGTGAGTTGCCCCTCTTTGTGTTCCTGAAAAAATAAAAATCAAACTCTCTTTAGATTTAAAGAATTGTCAACTTAACTAAGATTTTTCATTTAGGCAAAATATTCTTTTTAAGGTAGAATTCTGTTGGTTTACTAATCTAGTCTGACCGTATTTACCATTACCATAACAACTCATTAAATTATTTCCTAATTCAAGCAATCTTGTTATTAAAAATTCATTAACACAGATGGCAACTTAATTCTAGCCCATTTATCTTAATTAACTGAGGCAAACTTATACTACAACTCTCACAAGCATGGACTCAAAAGCCAGACTGCCTAGGTTTGCATTCTGGTTTCTCCACTCACTAGCCATGTGATCTTAGGTACGTTATTTAACATCTGCATTCTTCACTTTCTTTGTCTATGTGAGTAATACTAGTGCTACTTTACAGAGTTGTTATGAGGACTAAATAACATAAACTCTTAGAATAGTGTCTTGCATATAGGTAAGCCCCATATAAATGTTAGTGATAAACTACAGTCACTACTATTACTATTGCTACTACCTTTTCTTCTTCTTTTACTACTATTACTATTTATTACTATTAGTAATATTAGTATGGGATTAGGACATAAAACTTTTGATAGACAAAACTCATTACACTAACACAACATGCTCCAGTTTACGAAGCTCTTTTTCACAACAGCTCTAGGAGAGGTTTTAGCCCTAATTTCTAGAATATGAGGCACAAAGTGGTTATTTGACTAGTGTAAACCACACATAAAATATGTAGGTAGTATAATTATAACTCAAACTTAGGCCTCTGAACTCTTTCTACTGCACCATTTACTGTCTGGAATAATGAGACTTGGCAAAATGCCAAGAAATTACTAACAATAAAGCTATATATAAATAAATTGCTTATATCCTCCAATTCCATCTCCCCAGTGGGTAGCAGCTGGTCTTCAGATTAAGGGCATGGGAGGCAAACTTCCTCATCTTTCATCTTCCTATGTCCAAATATATATCTCTACATCTACTCTTCTCACTTACTCTTGTGTTTACTGAATTGGAGTACTTAAAATGTAGATGTTAATTCTGAAACAATTAAGTTTGACTATCTCAGATATAAGAAGAGAACACTGAGTCTACAGAAGAAAACACAAAGCTCCTTTGCCAAGATCTCATAGATGTCAAGTGGCAAAGCTAAGACAGGAACATAGATCTCATGACTTCCAATTCAGAACTATTTCTGCTACGACCATCTGCATTTCTTCTAAATCATACTCCATGTATCTTCTTAACTTTCTTGGTTGCAGCATCAGTGATTCATTCCCAAGTCCAGCCCAGGTTACTTCTATCCTGCCCTCTCCACTGACTCTGTCAATAGTCACTGGTATTCTATTTTACTATTTTTTAATCCCTTAACTTTACCTTCTGTGAACATTCTGTTTCTGTCTTTGCTTTTGCTGCTGGACTTTTTAATAATCATTTATTCTCACTGCCTTCAGTGATCCGCCACACATGCTATCCAAAGTCCCTGAAATCTGGCTCTTGCTTTATCCATGCTATTGAAATCTTGTAAGTCATTAAGAATTTCTGAGTCAATGGCCCTTTATCTGCCTACATTTTCTCTGAACTTTCTGTATCATTGGTTCAAGGTATCACCTCCTTCTCTACATGTTCTTCCCCCTCTGCCCATCTCTGGTTTTCACTTTACTGAGTTTCCTCTTAGCTTTTCAATTACTCTTTCTATGTCTCTTTCAGTAGCCCCTTTTACTTGTTTCACATCCTGAAAATGGGTATCTCCTGAGGTGTAAACCTCAGCCCTCTGATTCTCTCACTACATTTCTCTGCCTTGGAGTGTTTCTCTATTCTGATGGCTTCACTATTACTAGTTCACTGTTGCTGAATGTCCTGCTGTAATTTCAAACGTAGAATACAAAAACTACAAAACTTATAAGTTTGCTTCTTTTTTTTTCTGATAAAATTACTGTTTTTCTGGTCTCCCGCCTAGAAATTTTTATGTTATATTTGACTCCTCCTGAAGCTCCATTTAAACAGAATCAAGTCCTATGAATTCTATCCTCATAATCTGTCTCACATTTGCTCCCTACCTAAACACTCCCATTCTAATCACCAGGGTTCAGGTTCTTTATGCTGTACTCACAAACAAATGAAACTGCCTTACATCCAATACACTACCAATTTATTAATCTTCCTGAAGTGCATAAACACTCTGAGGTATCTTAAAGGCAAAGACTAAGTTCATTTCTTTATAAACTTCCCACAATACCTGACATAAAGCTATGCTTAATAAATAGCTGTTAATTTGATAGGTGGGCTCTTTGAACAAACAAGGGTAAAAAACCATACATGTAAGGAAAAAAAAATTTGTACCTATATTTTTTTCTAGAATTTTTGAAAATAATACAAAAGTGAAAAAACATACGGAACTCTCCAAGTTTGTAAGTGCCACTTTTCTGACATGCAAAGACTGAATATCACATTGTCATATGAACTTAATGAAAATTGGCCAATACATTTCAAAATGGATACGCAAAGGAAAAAATCTTGAGGAAAACTGATATATAAATGACACATAAAACACTCAGTAAGCAAGCGTCCTGAAAGATCAATCAAGATATTCTATTCCCTACAACAACAGTCTAATTTACCACAGGGGCCAAGAAAGGCAATAAAATGTTTTTGTGTTTTTGGAATTCATTCATTTAACAAATACTTCTCAGATGCTCAGGTGTGTCAAGTACTGACATTACAGTGTGATTTAAAACAAAACAAAACGAAAACCATATCCTTGCTTTCAGGAGACTTACAGAAGGAAATCAACCATAATTCCATAAATAACTAACAAACTATGTACATAGTGTATAAAGGGGAAAAGACTAATTTATACGGAAAGGGCAGGGAAGGTATCTCTCAGGAAGTAAGTCTTAAGTTGCCACATGGAGGATAAGTAGGAGCTGGCCAGATGAAAAGAATGGGATCAATAATTGTTAAAGCAAAAAGAATACCATGTACTCTGAGACAGAAAAAAGTCTTACTTGTTTAAGGAAGGGAAAGAAATCCAAGGAGGCTGAGTACCATAAGATGAAGCTAGAATGGTAGCTAGATCATATAAGCCTTCTCATATTAACACTTCTTATAGATGTTATCACAGATTTTGAATTTTAGCCCAACTATAATGAAAAGCCCTTAGTGCCACTGAAGCAAGGGCGCTCAAAATATAAAATATTACTGATCTCATGGAATATCTGTACTTATCTAACTTGACAAAGTTCTAATAGATGCCTCAGACATTAAAAAAAAACTTGGAAAAATTGTCTAATATACCCACCAAGCAGACATGTATTGATGCCTTTTATCTGCTTGGTTGGTATACTAGATGATATCAATAAAGGCAGAGAAAAAAATTAACTAAAAGGGCCACAGCATAGACATTACAATGTAACTGATAAAATTAGTGTCACTTTTCAATAAAAATTTTGGATACAGTTTAAAATGCTAATTCTAGTATATAAAATAGACCTTTAGCAAGTTTATACTTATTAAATCAATACATATTTGTAAATTTTTATTTAAAGAATATGGAACAAGTTAAAATTCATTAACTATTCTTGCTGTTCAAGGCACTACAAAACTATTGTTCTATCCCAACATAAAGAAACATCTAAGAAATTTAGTAATTGTACTTTTGTAATTGAGTTAGGAATTATGACAGTGTGATGATCAAGTTGTAAGATGCAGCAGCTGAAAAACTCCTATACTATTTATTGAAAGAAGAGAATCTGGAGAGAAGAGAAGATGGGGAAAAAAAAGTCCCATTGAAAGTGTCACAAAAATTTGATGTTCATAGTATTATTAAACAACTGTGGAAAATATTTCCAAAAGTAAAGTTACATAAAAAGTACCTGCAAAACCTGACAAGTCAGTAGAAAGTGATGAACCACTTGAGCTTTCAATAACTGCTTAATATTAAACATCTGCTGGTGGTGATCTGCTCTGATGAGGACTTCTAGAGCCGCTAACAAAGTTTCCCAAACACCTTGCTGAGGAGACAAACACACACCAGTAAGCACATATGTACTGAAAAATATGCAGCATGCTTTTTGGAAGACACACAACGTGCAACAATTTAACATTGTATATATATTCAGTATCAAAGACTACATGTCTGCAAAAAGCCAATGTCAAAATTTATTCCCTATTATTTTTTGTTGCCAATAGGCTATTTCTAAATAGCTATGTTGAATGCAATATTGTATTAGGTGCTTTCCTACATTACCCTTTCTGTGGCATTAAATGTATTTTCAAAAGATGAATTATCAAGAGGGATTGTTCAAATTAGAGAAGCACACCCATTACCAATGTTATTGTTTTTAAATAATTTATGTTCAAAGAGTGTTGTTAAAAATGTATACATTTCAATACCAATCTGCATATGCAGCATTTAACCAAATAATTTTAGAACAAATCATACTAAATCAAAAAGTCATCGACAATGTGAAAATTCTGCATTTACTTTCAAGTTCAAATGATAGAATTCTCTGCATGATTACAAACTATGCACTTCAAAGAGTAGTTAGCATCCTTTGACAGTGCCTTAAAATGCTTCTCCCATATTGAATCAATCTTAACTTGTCCATAATACTAGAGAAAAAAAGAGATCTTATACTGATAACTAATATTGAAAGATAACCTTCCCTTCATCTTATCATCCTAAGTGACCTTTCAATAAACCTTTTAACAAAAAGCAAAATTAACTGGCTTGGGTTGCAGAGCCTACTATTTCTCCTGCCATTATCTGGCAAGAATGAACCAAGATATTGATAGACTTAATCATACTCTTCTACCCAGGGTCTCTCTCTTTCTAAGATAGAGCCAAGATGTTCTAAAAGAAAAAGCCACATGAAAACCAGAAGACAAGGCAGCCAAAGTATGAAAACATGATTCAATCTGAAAAGTAGTACCAAGATAAAATAGTGCCAACGTAAACAAATAGCAACAACAAAAAAAGAAAAACCAGACTTAGTTCAAAAATAATTAATTACATAAGAAAACCTTATTTCAAATCCATAGAAGTAATATGTGTCTTATCACTTTCAAATTCAATTTAAAAATGTTTCTTTTAAAATCAAACAACCCCACATTTGCCTGCTCTTTGAAGCACTTGGTCCAACTTTGTCCAAGTTAGATTTTCCAACTTGCAACTGAGCATATTCTTTATTACACATTTATACTGCTTTTGATCCAATTTGTTTACATATGCTATCCCCATAATTATTTGCTTTCTCCCTGCAATATTATACATATTTTAATCTATCTATCTTATCTATCTTTTGTTTTTTTAGATCTGAAAGTAAATATTTATTCAGAGTGAGAAAAGGAATCACAACAAATCACAAAGTTTAAAAACTGAAAAGTACCATGAATATCACAAAATCCAGGAACATGGTAACAGTTGGCTGTTGGACATGCCTTTCAAAATACTTTTCTCTGTTTTGTGGCTGCATACTCTTTAATTGCCTCTTCATATAACAATTTTGTAATATAATTTTCTATAGGAAGAATAGAAAATTCTCTTTCCTCTAGCATATCTGAACTAAATTTATTTTTATTACTAATAGATTAGAAAAGGGTTTTTTTTTTTTTCCTTTTGCCAGGTGTGGGGGCTCACACCTGTATCCCAGCACTTTGGAAGGCCAAGGCAGGAGGATTGCTTGAGCCCAGGAGTTTGAGACCAGCCTGGGCAATATAGTGAGACTTCATCTCTACAAAAAAATAAATAAATAAATAAAAATTAGCTAGGCATGGTGGTGCACACATGTAGTCCTAGCTACTTGGGAGGCTGAGGTAGGAGGACTGCTTGAGCCTGAGAGGCAGAGGTTGCAATGAGCCAAGACGGCGCCACTGCACTTTAGCCTGGGTGACAGAGTGAGATTCTGCTTCCAAAAAAAAAAAGGGAGTCTTTTTTCAACCTCACAACTCATTACTGGTAATGTGTAAATTTTTAGGGACTGTTGGCAAGTTGGGAAAAACCATTTTTTAAAAAATTCTAAAGGTATATATATTCTGAATTGCTCCATAATAATATTTGATGATAATCTTGTTATATTCTAATTAGTTCTAGACAATCTAGTTTTCTTTTTCTTGCAAAAATCACCAATACCTACTAGAACCCTGCCACACTTAGAGCAAACAGTCTACACTAGAACTAAGAAGGCTGTATGAGCCTATACCATTACGACTGCTTAAAACTGGGGCAGAAAGGAAACAACCCTATACTCATTCCCTGACTGGGTCCTTGTGAAGACCAGACCAGCCATTCTAGGTGCTGAGATGTAGTGTCTACATCTAAGATCAATCTATGTTGCTTACTTTATACTTACGATGAAGCCTTCCCCTATATACCATGGTCTTATCTCTAACTCCTGGCCAGCGTGGCTCCCCTAGTTAGAAGTGTATCCATTTCCCTCTCCTGGACCTGACTCCCCTGACTCTTAGCAGGCTCCCCTTTCAGAGTTTATGGTAAATGCAAGACTTCGACTAATCCAAATAAGCCCATATGCTCCTGCCTGACTGCAGTATTCTTAGCCAGCCCAAGTTTGATTTTGACTCTCTAGCTCAGCGTTCCCCATGGCTGTTCAAAACTTTGCATGGAAAATAAGTGCCAGATTTCCATTTATAATAAACATTACATTGAAGTAATTAATTATTTCCTTCAGAATCATGATTAGATAAATATTTAAAAGAATATGCTGGCTGGGGGTGGTGGCTCATGTGTGTAATCCCAGCATTTTGGGAAGCCAAGGCAGGCAGATCACTTGAGCTCAGGAGTTCAAGACCAGCCTGAGCAACATGTGTGAAACCCTGTCTATATCCAAAATACAAAAACTTAGCCAGGCATGGTGGCACACATCTGTGGTCCCAGCTACTTGGGAGGCTAAGGTAGGAGTATCATCTGAGCCTGGGGGTGGAGGTTGCAGTGAGCCAAGATCACTCCACTGCACTCCAGCCTGGGCGAAAGAGTAACACTCCATTTCAAACAAAAACAAAAACAAACAAAAAAACGAGTACACGCTTCTATTCACAGTAGCTAAAATGTGGAAACAATCTAAGTATCTCTAAACTGATGAATGGATGAGCAAAATGTGGTAAATATATAGAATGGAATATTATTCATTCTTAAAAAGGAAATTTGGACATATGCTACGGCACAGATGAGCCGTGAAGACATTATGCTGAGTGAAATAAGCTAATCACAAAAAGACAAATACTATATGATCCTACTTATATGAGATCCTTAGTCAAAAGCAGAATGGTGGTTTCCAGGGGCTAGAGGAAGAGGGGGAACAGGGAATTACTGTTTAAAGGGTACAAAGTTTTGGTTTTACAAAACAAAAAAGATTTACAGAGATGGATGGTGGTGATGGTTGGACAACACTGTAAATGCACTTAATGCCACCGAACCGAAACTTAAAAATGCTTAAGATGGTAAATTTTGTGTTATATGCATGTTATCACAATAAAAAATAGAAAAAGTACATATTACATGCCTCTGCTTTATTCCATATCTTCCAGTCAAGCAACAGTTCCTCTAACAGCTTAACATCTTGGATTATAGCATTAGAGTCTACATCCAACTTAAACTCTCCATTTTCATTCATATAAATAATATCTTCACCACAGCATCCTTCGAGAAGGGTCTATAGAAAATTAGCATTAATATAAGATGCATTAGTAATTGGTTAATCAAAAAGTTCAACAGAAACATTAAGCTTTCAATTTTAGCAATCATTAAATTCAAAGGAAAGCTAGTAAATAATTCACTTCACAAAATATCTTTAACTTGTTTTGTAAAACAATTCAGATAAATAGAAAATTCCAAACTTACAAATATTTTTAAGTGAGTACTCAGGTTCAAACATGGAGTAAAACAAACAGCACTCATTTTTTATGTTTTAAATTGAATTAATCTTCTATTAGGCTTTAAAACCTTTTCAAAAAAGTAGTAAGGATTCATGCCACAAATGTATGGATCTTGCAGTTTAAAGAGGTAGGGGTGGGGGCAAGGGTAGAGTAATCATCTTTTGCCTTAGTACTAGAAATCTCAGAGAGAAATATTTTCACAATGTTACCAAATGCTTTTATCTAGAAAAGTATTTAAATATATGATGATAGCGAGATAATAAAAATGAGCACGAATATCTGTGACTTTAAAAACTAACTTGTAGCAGCAGTGCCTAATGGAATGGTATGCCTCTAGGTGTCTAGAGAACTGGGTTCTCTGCCATAATGGTGGGGGCTAAAGCAAAGATCTTATCAGTCTATGGAATGAGGGGACAGCATGGGAGATATCTATGGCCCACCCAGATCTAAAATTCAATGAGTTTATTTTTTCTTACTTTTAAAAAATGCTTTAAAGAAAAGAAAAATGTAATTATTTAAATGATGAAAAGAACTAGAAGAATACCTTAGTTTTATTAACTATACACTAATAAGTTTCCTCCATTTTCTTCAGGAATAACTGAAACACAAAACTATTATTGGAAGACTTTGATGATGAGATGAGTATCATTGCATATGAAACTATAAAAATAAATTTTATGAAGACATACCTTCAAAATGTAAAACCCAACAATGCATTTTTGTTTGATCAACACCTGATGAATCATAGAGAGTCCATTACAATTTTCTAATTCATGTACTCTTTGTTGGTTGTATTTAATTAATGAGAGTATAACTCGCAGTGCTAATGCTTGAGTTTCTTCACAGCTACTGAGTTCAATGACCTAAAAAAAAATGGGTGGATATAGTTTTCTCCCAATTTGCTGAGAGTAAAAATGTAACGTTTATAATCTTCCACTATGTAACATCAATCCAGCAGTTTCTACAAAGTATTTTTTTAATGCTCATACTCTACCTATTTAAGGATTGTGAATAAACAAAACTGAGAGTAAGGCATACATTCCATGTTCTATAGTCTCTTCCATATGCTATAGTATACAATGACATGAACAACCTTAGCGGTCAGTAGCATTTTATAACTGGTGATCTGAAGTGTCATAAGTTTTTGATAAATTAGTCAACAGACAAACAGGCTCTGCATTATGTAGTAAGGGAGACAAAAAGAAGTAAAATACATGATACTTGTTCCCAATGGGGTCTACTTTTCTGTCAAAGAGATAAGAGGCTAAAAACCACATGTTGTGCCTTGTACTTCAATTTACTTCAACCAACACTTTCTGACAACTACTATATACATAAGAAACACATACTTATTATCACGCTAAAGGCCAAAGAAGAATGAGACAATAGGTATGCCAGGAGAGCACAGAAACCATTCTGACCCCTCTCTGCTTGGTTTAGGGGAAGGCTACACAGAGATAAGATGGCCAAGGAAGAGAGCCAAATCCTGGAAGCAGGAATAAAGGGGTGGCTGGGGGCAGGGCACAGCCAGGGGAAGGGTGAAGGCCTAAATTAGAAGTTCAGAGTACATCTAGGAAGCTACAGGTTGCCTCTTTGGCTGGATTGTAGAGACCAGGCTCACAAGGCAGGTTATGCATGTAAGGATTTTAAGGACACTGAATTTTATTTTTGTAGGGGAGGAGGAAGGATACTGAACAAGGTTTCTAAGTTTTAGACTTAGAAACATACTTTAAAAGTCTTACTGGCAAGATACTAAACATATAAAGATAAAAATGTCAACATTTTATCTAAGATCCAATCTTTATGTAACTAACAAAATTATATTCAATACCTTGATGAAAGAGAAGAAAACAAGGATATACATTTTGAAACTATACAGTGGTACAAAAGATCACAAAATATTGGTGAGGAGTCAAAGGGCTTTTGATTTTAAAACACTAGGAGAGAATCTATTCAACTAGACAGTAGATTTAAAAAATATGAAAAAAGAAGAGGTGAAGAAGAAAAGACAGATTACAGAGAATGGGGGATCAAATGCTAACAAAATATTTGTAAGAACCCTAACAACAACAAATGCTCATATGCTTCTTATTGCAAAATTAATCAAAGATGCTTCCATTAAAGAAAGCTAGATAGGGAGACTATGAAAACCTGATAATGTTGCAGAAGTTATACTTCGGGATAAAATGAAGATGGCATTCCGAGGATGAAGGAAGATCAAAGCTGCTTTAATTAAACAGGGATGTGGACCCAGAGAAAGTAGAAATGATTTTTACCAAAGTGAGACTATTTGTGCTCCCTAATATAGGTTTCAGCAATCCCTGAAATAGTCTATAATTACTGTCTACTCTGTATCAGGACAGATAATTAAATGATTTATTCTAAAATGGTACGTATGGCCTGAGGCAAACTTTGTATTTCTCCTTTTTGAAAAAACTCCAAACCCAAACAAAGTTTTGTTTTTTTTTTAAAAAAAAACATACTTGCTGACCCTTAGTTTTTTCCTATGCATTGGAAACATTTAAGGAATAAAAGCTTCATAAATTTTATTTTTAAAAGTATCCTCCTTTCAAATTAAAATCTTGTACATTTAACATTTAATTGTACTAATTGCATTCTTGGTTAATAGAAAACTTCTAAAATATTCATAAATTAGAAGAAACCTGAATCATCTATGGCTGAAAGCTTAATAACATATTTAATATATAATTTTTTATCTTAAAAGTTTAATATAGTTGAGTGTAGCTTTTTCGTGTGGTCCAAAAGAAATCCTTTATCAATAATAAGTAAGTCATTTCTCTTTAGACAAAACTATAACCAGTGATTCTTACCCTAGCAAAGAGAAAAACAAATACACCAGTTCCACCAATTTCGTGCAGAATGCCTTGAATGGTTTTATATTCAGTAGGTTGGAGATTCTTTAGATGATGAGGTTCTAATAAGATGCTCTGAACTTCTTTTGAGCTGAAGGGTCTTTGAGAGAGTTGGGTTTTCATTTGACCTTTAAGTCTAATCACTGGCTCATAGATGGTGTACTGAGCAGGACAGTAAGTTGTATAAACAACTGAAAGACTTTCCTGAAACACAAATATTTTCATTCAGTAATGACACAAAGTTTAAAATGCAAGCTATCAACTAGCAAGTAAGTATTTCAAAGTGAAAACACACTCAACTGATCCTTTTCTTTGTTTAAAAAACAACAGCTACTACACTAAACAAAGATAAACATTAGAAGCAAGGCTGCTTCCCACAAAGCAAATGATCAGTGATTTATTTAGCAGTGATCAATTGTATAGATCACACCAAGGTTGAGAAGGATTCCAGCTTTGTTTGGTTTAGAATAAATATTAAATTATACTATTACTACTAATATCAACTAAGTCTTAAACCACACTTACTACATACCAGGCACTATTCTAAGTACTTAAAAATATTGGGAACTCAGGGTCAGGTCAACTTTTCTGAAATTTTTGCTCTGCATTTGCTCAAGGGCTGACTATTTATTTAAAAGCAACTCTAAACTAGATCTTTCTTTCTACTGGAATAAAATTTCGGATTGTCAACGGTCAGCACACCGAACTAAAATAAAATAGAACTTCAAATATTTCTCCCAGGCAAAGGATAGTTTCCATCAGTGTGTGGCTCCCTGTCAAGATTCTCTAAACTATTTTAAAAATTAAAGTTAATTTTAAATGCAGAATGTATGTTTTTCTTAGAGACAGGGTCTCGCTCTGGCACCCAGGCTGGAGTGCAGTGGCATGACCATAGCTCACTGTAGCCTTGAACTCCTAGGCTCAAGGGCTCCTCCCACCTCAGTCTCCCAAGCAGCCAGGACTACAGGCACCTGCCACCACACCAATTTTTTTTTTTTTTTTTTGGTAGAGACATGGTCTTGTTATGTTGCAGGCTAGTCTCAAACCCTTGGCCTAAAGTGATCCTCCTGCCTGTGCCTCCCAGAGTGCTGGGATTATAGGTATGAGATTATAGGTATGAACCTTGGTGTCTGGCCCATAGTGTACTTTAAGGTGGTTTTAGTGGTAGTGGATGCCAAACTCAGGCTCAGGAAATCATATAGATTCAGTGTCTTCTCTCAGAACTGGATGGGGGCCTTTCTCTCTCTCTTTCTTTCCAAGACGGAGTCTTGCTCTGTTGCCCAGGCTGGAGTACAGTTGCATGATCTCAGCTCACCGCAGCCTCTGCCTCCTGGGTTCAAGCAATTCTCCTGCTTCAGCCTCCTGAGTAGCTGGGATTACAGGTGCATGCCACCACACCCAGCTAATTTTTTATTTTTAGTGGAGACAGGGTTTCACCATGTTGGCCAGACTGGTCTCAAACTGGCTGGTCTTGAACTTCTGACCTCGGGATCTGCCTGCCTCAGCCTCCCAAAGTGCTGGGATTACAAACAGGAGCCACCGTGCCTGGCCTGAGGTTTATTTATGACCCACAGCAATCAGACGTGCCATCCAGTGTATCTGTGCACCAGCTAAACCAATTATACTCTCTGTTGTGTATGATTATGCTGGAAAAGCAAAGTTTCAAACCTACAGTAGTTTCAATCAGAAATCTGACACCACACCCTGACATGAGGGTACCATTTCTTTTTTTTTCTTTCTTTCTTTTTTTGAGACGGAGTTTCACTCTTGTTGCCCAGGCTGGAGTGCAATGGTGCATTCTCGGCTCACTGCAATCTCCGCCTCCTAGGTTCAAGCGATTCTCCTGCCTTGGCCTCCTGAGTAGCTGGGATTACAGGTGCCTGCCACCATGCCCGGCTAGTTTTTGTATTTTTAGTAGAGACGGGGTTTCACCATGTTGGCCAGACTGGTCTCAAACTCCTGACCCGAGGTGATCCGCCTGCCTCGGCCTCCCAAAGTGCTGGGATTACAGGCGTGAGCCACTGCGCCCGGCCGAGGGTACCCCTTCTCCCTGACCATTCTTTCACAAACTTGTAACTCCCAAATTACTAAATTGGGCTTAAAGAATTTGCTCTCTAAAAATAGTTTTCACATAAAGCCCTCAGAATTTTCATTCATGATAATTTATGCTGAGTTTTGTAACTTATATGACCTATATACTGTTCAGGAAAAATAAAAGGATTAGGGAAATTTTTTTATGAAAACTAATGCATTAACTGAAAACTACTGAGTTAAAGTTACTACTTGAACAAACATCTGTGTGAGCTCCTCAATCTCCCTAAGGCAGAGGTTCTCAAAGTGTGATCCTCAACCAGCATCAGCATCACCTAGGAACTTATTAAAAATGTAAATTCCAGGGTCACACTTCAGACCTATTACATCAGAAGCTCTGGACCAGCAATCTATATTTTAACAAGCCCTCTGGATGATTCTGGTGCACATTCAGGTTTGAGAAACCATTTCCCTAAAGGATGTTTTCTTAATGGTGAGACATTTAGGATAGGATCATTCTTTGTTGTATAATAGTGTTCATGTACTGTAGAACATTTAGCATCCCTGTCCCTTACTACCCAATAATTACTGACAACCACATTTACCCTCCCCACAACTCAACAACAACAACAACAAAATACATTCCAAAACAGTAGTCTCCTTCAAGTAGGAAATACCTGTACTTCTCACAAGAAGCAAGAGAAAGAGGAACCCAGTTTCATGGCCAGATCTACCAGATTTTAGTAGATTTTCTAAGACTATGAAGGCTCAGTTTTCTAGTTGCTATAATGAAAAACCTCACCACTAGCTCCTAAATTGTATACCAGTAGAACAAAATATTGGAATAATATATAAAAATCAATAGAGTCTCATGTAAGCAGAATTAGCAATACTTTGAAAGCAAAATTCCTATTTGTACTGATATTAAACAATACGTTTTTTAGGCCAGGCATGGTGGCTCATGCCTGTAATCTCACCATTTGAGGGGCTGAGATGGGAGGATCGCTTGAGGCCAGGAGTTTGAGATCCGTCTGGGCAACATAGCGAGATTCCATCTCTACAAAAATTTAAAATTAGCCTGGTGTGGTGGTGCCTGACTGTAGACCCGGCCACCTGGGAGGCTGAGGTGGGAGGATCATTTGAGCCCAGGAGTTCAAGGCTGCAGTGAGCTATGATCACACCACTGCACCCAAGCCTGGGTGACAGAATGAAATCCTGTCTCTTAAAAAAAAAAAAACAATAAAATATAAAAAAGAGTAGGTTTTCTAAGATCTGAATATACGTAACTAAAACTAACATTATAAATGGATATTATTTATTTATAAGTATGGGAAGAAAATATAAAGAGCAACATTTTTTAGGAGTATGTCAAACTAACAAGTGTTATTTTCACTGTATCATAAACATTTTTCCTGAATAATTGGTAGGTATAAAATAAACTAAACTGATAAACTTTTTATGGAAATATAATTTCAAGGAAATGGAGACATAAATATAAAACCTGAAACAAATTTTGAAAGAAGGTCAAAGTGTTTCAACTTTTTTCAGAAAAAAACATAATTCTAAGATAAGAAAATGTTAAGGAACCACATGAAAATCTTTAGAAATCTAATTCATAACTATACATTTCAATAAATACACCTAAATACAGTTGTTACTATAAAATTAAAACTTATAAAATTAAAACTTACAATTAAGAGACCAATATCCACATCTTTCTTGGTCATAAAAAGTTCTCTGATTTGTTCACATCGCAAAATTTCTTTATTAATATATTTGGAGTAGTCATTCACTGGCTTGCCATACTTACATGGCATTACAGATGTATGGTTGGGCCCACAAGCATACAGATAAAAGGCCTCTTGTGAACCAACCTTAGCTCCTGAATAGCAGAAAAATAAAGTTAGTTATTTAAAACACTCTAACCAGAATTTTTCATAAAAAGCAAGAAACCAGGAGTTATTTTTTTTAGCCAGATTCTTTCAGCTGTTCACTATATTTTATGAAATTGATAAAGCCTCAATTTCCAAATTGGTGTAATGAGAAAATAACCTATGCCAACTATGATGGAAGATGAATTAATGTATATAAAGTTAATCGTGAAGCTTTTAATTAAATCATAATATTTCTATTTACTCCTTAGCCAGAAAACAGGTTTTCTGATTTATTTTACTTTTTTTTTTTTTTTTTAAATAATGGAAGCTGTATCTTGGTAAATTCCATTTCTAACTAAAATTTGAATCAATATCTTTATTCCTTCCTATTTAGTCAATAAACACTGTCTGAATGCTATTATGTATCAGGTTTAAGGACATATTTTTAAAAATCATATATCTCATTTTTCCCTAAAATTTGATATTTGTATAAGAAATAATAAAATTATAAAGGAGACAACCAAGATAAGTTTACTAGTCACGATACTACATTATCCAGTATAAAAAAACACTAATTTAATATGAGATTTTCTTTTTTGAGGGTGGAAGAAATACATTTTTATATTAAATGTATGTATCAATTGTAACACACAACTAGATTACAAAAATGTTAAAATATTTTAAAAGTATATCTTAGAGTCTTGGAAATACAGTACTTATTAAACACAAGCAAAGGAACAGAGATACATATTTTAGCCAGGTTAATTTACTTAGTTTAATACTTGTTAACTGAGAAAAAAAACTGGAAATGTTTCAAAGGAAAAAATCTCACTCTGTCGCCCAGGTTGAAGTGCAGTGGTGCAATCATGGCTCACTCACCATTGAAGAGAAGCAAATTTCCCAGGTCCCATTTTCCAGCTAACTGCAAAAACTCTTCTTGGGATGATAAACAATGGCCAATCATGCAAAATGTTTTATTGCTATCAGATGACAAACTTGTTTTTCTTGGAAGCATAAAATCCAAAGTAACATCAGGCTTCCTACATTAAAAACAAAGTTAAAGCAACGACTTTAGGAAGTACTAGTACTAAGTATTTTTAAAGCATGAATATTTAACAATGGAGAATTCTTCAACAATTTTCTTGGGTCATTACCAGCTGGCACTGGGGCACAAGAGGAGGGCTAATTGTTTGTCTCTTGGTCAAAGGTACTGCAGAAAGAGGGGAGCCAAACAGGGATACCTGATGCTCCCACAGCAGGCCATGGGAAATGTGATGAGACATTTGCTGCAAGTTTTCTCTGCCATTTGACTTCCACATATGCACCTTCCTGGTTTACAGATACAAACCAACCACCTCCCCTTAATTTTGCCAAGAAGTCTCCCATCTTGACAAACAATTCCAAAAATTGGAATCCATGACATTCCAAAAATGTTATGTCATCTATGAGGCCTCTGAAAACTAATCAGTAAAAACATAACTTCTTCAAAATTTCTTCTGTCTAGCCACTGAAATGTCAATGCTTTCTGCATTTTCTGTTTTCTTAATGCTAAGTGATTACGCAGCTTTTGATTAGTCTCTTTTGCTTCATGGATAACGGTGAAGGAATGCTTACAAAAGACAGAGTTCTGGCAAAGGCAAAATAAAGCTTTCTCACAGAAAGACACACAAAGCAGGGAGGACTTCATCAACTAGTGAAACCACAGAGCTCTACCCCTAGTTTAGGAATGTTTTAAACTCCATTTTAAGATAATAAGGGTAATCTATAAAGGCAAAGTCTAAATAAAATTTGTAAGATGAAGACAGGATAAGCTAACATAGGTAGCTCTTAATGAGAAATCCAACTTTGTATATATTTATTTTAAAAGTTTTGCCTAAGACTCTCTGTTTCACATATAACAGATAAACTTAACTATTTTAATGTTTGTTTTTTTTTTTAAATAAAGGAAAGATGTGAGATACGTTCAATGACATACTTCTCCTTGACCAAATAAATGGCTATGACTGAAACTCCTCTATCACCATCTAGTGGCATTATGACTTAATATAGTTTTAAATTTTTTATTTTAAAAAATAAGAGTGTTTCAATGAGAACACATGGACACAGGGAGGGGAACATCACACACCAGCGCCTGTCAGCAGGTGTCGGGGCAAGAGGAGGAAGAGCATCAGGACAAATACCTAATGCATGTGGGGCTTAAAACCTAGATGATGGGTTGATAGGTGCAGCAAACCATCATGGCACATGTATACCTATGTAACAAACCTGCATGTTCTGACATGTATCCCAGAACTAAAGTAAAATGAAAATATAATATAATAAAATAAAAATAAAATAGTGTTTTTAAGGGTGAAAGAAAACCTACTGCAGGATGAATGCAAAATGAATTAAACAAATATTAAGTATCTACTATGTGCCAAATATTTCTGCCATATTTGTAAGCTGTTAATAACAACTAAGAAAGTATTAACTCATTTTCAGTATTGTTACCTTATTTTAAAAGGCCTTTTCAAATGTACTCTTTTAGAAATTCTTTTTTTTTTTTTTTTTTAATTGAGACAGGGTCTCGCTCTGTCACCCAGGCTGAAGTGCAAGGGTGCAATCATGGCTCACTGTAGCCTTGACTTACTGGGCTCAGGTGATTCTCCTGCCTCAGCCTCCCGAGTAGCTGGGACTATACAGGTACGCATCACCATGCCCAGCTAAGTTTTTATTTTTATTAGGGTCAGGGTTTTTCCATGTTGCCCACGTTGGTCTTCAATTCCCGGGCTCAAGCAATCCTTCTGCCTCGGCCTCTCAAAGTGCTGGGATTACAGGCATGAAGCACCATGCCTGGCCTAGAAATTATTCTATAGCTTATAAGGTGATGAAGATATTATAGCACCAAGTTTAAGTCAACAGAATAAAATATTTGTTCTTGGTCACTTGCTCTGTTAACCAATGAAATTAACTTGTGCCAAATGGCAAACAATTCTCTCAAAGGAATGTAGACCTAAGTGGGTGGGTAAAAAAACAGAGTGATGTGTGAATCAAGTGACTATGTTTACTAATTTCAGACTGTCCACAATAAAAATCTAATTTCTCATTCTGAACATGTCTAATAGTTTATGGTTCCTATACCTGTCAGTTGACATAATTCAGAAAAAGGCTGCAGGGGCAGTAAAGGATAGGGTTTTAAAACATGGGCCCTCCTTAGGGTCAGAGTTTAGGTTAAACTTTCAGCTCTACCCCTTACTTGTGGCAAGAGTTTGGGCAAGTCACTCTAGGTCTCAGTTGCCTCATCTGTAAAATTTGGATAACAATATACCTACTTCATAGTATTGCTGGGAGGATTAAATTAGGTAATCTGTATAAAGTGTCTAATGCAGTGCCTGGCACATGTTGAAAGCTCAAGAAATGGAGAGGAGAGTGTCTAGGAGGAGACAGGGGCTCTCTACTTACAACTCCAGCCCCAGCTCTATCTGATTTAACTATAGGTTCTGGAAACAAATTTGCTGATTGGCTACAGCTGCCACGGCAGGTGTGAAGATCGAGACTGTCCCAGACTGTATTTTATTTGGAATATGGAACATGGAAATTAGGCTTCAATTACGTATTTGTACAATTTTTTTAAATGAATACAACAAAACTGAACTCTTATTTCCAAAGCATGTTCTTGCTTGTGGCAGACACCATGGACTGTAAAGCAATTCACAAGCCCCTGTTCCCTGTCTCCCTCTATTATTGAGGCTGGACGGCTATAAGCAATCAATTGCTGCAGCCTCCTGCAGCGATGCCCAGTCCTCCACTTCAAACTGTCCTCCTCTCACCTGCACAGGGCAAGTTCCATCTCCTCTTTCAGGTCTCAGCTTTAATACCCTGTTCTTAGATAGGCCTTCCCTGATCCATCCATCATTAGTGTCAAACTTGATATTTTCTGTCTCAAGGTTTTAAAGCATGGACCTCACAGTATTTGTCATCATTTGCAAATATTCATTTAATTGTGTTTGCTTGTTGTCTGATTCCTCACCAGACTGTGACTCCAGGAAGGCAGGGAATGTGTCCATCTTGTTTACCACTGTCCCCCAGGCCTTATTAATACATCAAGTGCTCAAAACACTGTGATTCTTCAATAAATGTGATGAATGAACAAATGAATGAATAAAAATAGGTTAATCTGTGTTAAGGGTATATGTTATTTCCATGGTCTAATCTACTTTGAGGGATTTTTGAGAGAATTAGATCATGTATATAAAGCATCCAGCAAAAGATCTGCAACATGATAAGTATGCAATATATTATGTTCCCTTTGATTAAATCTAGACTTCTCAGCTTGGCATTCAAAGCCTGTTAAGTAGTCTCACCATGCCCATTCTTTTGTATTTCTCATTATTCAACTTAAACTCATCCAACCAGCTTAATCCTCTACCGTGCCACATTACAGTTTCAAATTCTCATCTTCTTTCATGCTACTTCATTCAATACAATACTTCCCAATGCTTACAAATCAAAGATACCTTATAATTCCTACAGGCTAAAATTTTACATTACGATATTCCACAAGACGTTTCTTATTAACTTGGCTCACAATTCTCCTATGTGGTAAAAATCATACAGTACTCTCCCTGAATCTATCACTTGCTATATTTCTAGCACTCTATCTGAATCTATCACCTTATACATAGACTAGTCATTCTAATTTCTTTTGAAAGTCTAATTTAGGTATTAACCTTATTAGCCACTTAACTTAAATAATTATCATGGCTTCAGTTTTACAATATATGGACTTGCGGGATGAAATTATAGATTCTGTTCTTTCATATATAGTTATACATAAATGTCTAAATTTCTAGGTATCTGCATGCTCCCCAAACCCAAATATTAATTTTCAACAGTCACTTCTACAGAAGGCTTATTCTGCATGAAAATGACCAATAGGAAAAAAAAGTCCAACTCTGACAGATTTGTAAGTTAAAGTATAGTAAATTTTATTGTAGTAAAAACCTAGAATTCTCTGTAATCTGTTTCAGAAGTTATAATAGACTAATGAAACATAACATTGTAACTGAGATTGACATGCATTTCCTCAAAATGCTTCCTACCTCTGTCCAGAGACCCATATGGAGATTTTCCCATGAATCTTCTTTTTCCCTTGGGGCTGCTGTAAGTAGGTGAGTACTAAATGTTGCCATTTGCTTGGGAGGAAAATATTCTCCTGTGATTCAACCTGTGCTAGTAAAACAGCTTTCACGTCATCATTTGAATCCATGCACACACTATAAAAAAAGAGAAAAGGCATAGGCTGAAAACATAAAAATTCTGACCTCAGTATTTAACACATATATAGTAACTATAATTCTAAATATTTAAGTAAGATTAAAAATCAGTTCTATTTTTTTTAAAGTGCTTGAAAAGTCAGTAGGTCTTCGTTTTATACCATAAGCTACTTAGTTATTCTATTATTACCTCAATTCATGAACTGAAATAGATTAGGCTCATTGGCTGGTAGTCATAATTTAGGCAATAATTTTCAGAATTCAGTTTGTAAAAAATATATATTATTACTATTTATATAGTCATCGCTCATTTAGAAATTACAATGTATTATTTGGTTCATAGAAAAATTAATATAAATGTCTAAATACCAGACTGTATTGGAGGTCTAATCTACTTTGTGGAATTACTAAAAGAATGAGGAGATAACGTACATAAGGCATCTAGTAATGTTTGTAACGTTTACAAGGTAGGTATTCCTAAATAACATACTGGTTTGTTTAGATTTGAGTTTTAGACAAATAGTATCATACTATTCATACTCAATACAAATAAAAGACCTGTATCTATACCACTTAATAAATGAGACATTATAAAAGGACAAGATAACAAGGAGAACCCAAGCTTATCAGGTAATGCCTATTAAATATATAACCCACATGGAAAACATGTTTGTTAGTAACACCTTAAGACCATTACAATCTGATAGAATATTTCCATAGAATAAGACTTCAATAAGTATTTGATCTAAAATCTAACAGAGAATTATTGTATTTTATTTATTTTTTTATTTTTATTTTTATTTTTTGAGACAGTCTCACTCTGTCACCCAGACCGGAGCGCAGTGGCATGCGATCTGGGCTCTGCCTCCCGGGTTCAAGCGATTCTCCTGCTTCAGCCTCCTGACCAGCTGGGACTACAGGCATGCACCATCATGCCTGGCTAATTTTTGCGGTTTTTGTTTGTTTGTTTTGTAGAGATCGGGTTTCACTATGTTGGCCAGGCTGGTCTCAAACTCCTGACCTCAGGTGATATGACTGCCTTGGCTTCCCGAAGTGCTGGGATTACAGGTGTGACACCATGCCCAGCCGAGAATTAATATAGTTTAGACTTTATGGATTTTTGGATAGAATAATACACTATTACAAAAGTGATATTAATAGCTGTTAGAATGTATATATTTTTAAATGAGACTTTTTGTTTCGCTATAATGAAATTTTATTAGCAGATTTCACATTAATGTCTCTTACATAAATTATTTAAATACATTATCTATTCATGGGAGGCTGAGGATAATCAATACCGAAAGATAAAACTGGCATTGTGGGGATCAGCCCACACTTGGATCATCAACGCTTTGGATCCCAGTGAAATTATATGAATACATCCTTCTTCTATGAGTCTTTCACCAGGATTTATGTACTCTGCACCTTCCGGTCTGTCGCTCCCTATAAGAAAAAGATGTTAAAATGATCAGTAAAATGGTTCATAACAATTGAGTAGAAAAGTGAATTTACAAGAATACAAAGCACGTTTGTTCATTTGTAGTAGGTTACCTACCCAGAATGTCTGAGCCTGATCTGTTCTAAACAACCGTATTTCCAGAGTATAGATGTTAACTCCAAAAAAGCACAAGGGATGAAAAATGGTAATTCAGTACTTTAAAAGTTATTAAATGTTTAAAAATGTATAATAACTGAGGACAACTGTGGGCATAACCAGACTGCTATGTGACAACCTACTACAATGTGTACCAAGCTGCTTTCTTCAGCTGGATTGGGTCACTGTGACTTCCCTGACCCTGGTCCAGGGAGCACACATCACTGTCAATGTGTGTCATTGTCTCACACTACCAAAAATCATTCTAGAATTATCACATGGCATGATTTTTAAAAATTTTCATATTACAAATTTTAAGGAAAAACTCTAGTGTTTGAATATATTCATAATTTATATTCCCTGGTGAGTGGTCTTTGAATATAATTGCTAAGTGATTCAGAATCTCTAGTGTTTCTTTAAGGCAAGCTAGGGTAAATGCTTACAGATTTGGGCTATCTGGTTATTCATCTTGACTCCTCTTTCTCATCTTTTAAAACACAGCACTACCTGAAGATGTATGATGATCTACTTGTCATTATAATACTTGTGACTTTATGTAAGGCTATGTTATATCATAATACAAAATGCATGTCCAAAGGTTCAGATTTTTAAAGAACACTACTGCTTATTAGACTGCATACATATTAGTTGCTATTTTTCAACAGGTAAAACCATGACCGATGTTAAAAACAAAATACTCCCCGTAGCGATGACAATAGTTTTAAAAAAGAAGAGTTAAAGTAACTGATTATTTTGAGGCTACTGACCAAGATATAAGATGTATAGAGAACTCATATCTGACATGAAATTTTAAAAATGTTCCATACCAAATATGAACTTGTACAAATAAAAGAGTAGGACAAAACCAGTGTGTACCTAGGAATTATAGAGTAGGAATATTACAAATATTTAACTTAATGCTCACAACCATCTTATAAGGTAAATATACACAGGGTGACAGAATTGAGGCGCTGAGAGGTTAATTTGTCCAAAGGCATCAGTTAGAGGTAAAAGATGTGGTATCACAGCAAAATATTCTTTATCTCTCTTCAAAAATTTATATATGTCTACTATTTTTAAGTGTTTATACAAAATCATCTTTCTAAAATATGTTTTCTAATATATCCTTAAAATAAAAAATTAAGACAAAACTTTCTAATATTTACTTTTCTCAGGTCACTATGTACATTTATTCATTTTATAAGAGACTGTTTACATTGAGATTGCCTCCATTAAAACATGAGAAGGCAATCTGCATAGCTTATAGTATAGTAGCAATGTCAAGGCTCTGGAATTAAAAACAGGTGGGTTTCAATTCCTTTTCCACACTTACCAGCTATATAATTTGGTCATGCTACTTAACTTCCTCTAAAAATACAGATAGTATGAGCACTTACTAACTTGTTAATATTAAAAATGTATATAGAAACAGCTGAGCAAAGTGACATATATACAGAAAGCACTCAACACACATTAGATAGCATCATAATAAATATTATCACATGTAGAGCTATCAGTTCTTAGGTGGCAAAATCCAATCCACAACAGAAAATTCTAGTGAAGGCATAGTGTCCTAAAACAGAGGTTCCACTGGGTGAGAAAGATTTGTGGAATGAAGAGCTAATAATAATGAATAATGAAAGATTTGTGGAATTGAGGCCTGCATCTCCATGTACATATAAAGCCCTAAACATCTGTCTCATCCAGTCATTTCATTCATTCCATAGGCCCTAAGAATTATCCCACCTACTTCACTTTCCATCACCATAAACTGTTTTTCAATGAACAGTTTTTTTCTGCCCTAGTCATATGAGAAACAAGGTGCAGTATAATAGCAATTCTTCAGTTAAAGAAGGAACTGGAATGAAATTTATTCTAATGTTGGAGAATGGCTGATGCATTTAAACATTCTGTGACAGGAACTAGGGGAGGGTCACTGAGGTAAGACACGGCATGAGAAGGAGAACTTGAAATAAAAGAGAGAAGGACGTTCGCAGGCTGGGTGCAGTGCCTCACGCCTGTAATCCCAGCACTTTGAGAGGCTGAGGCGGGCGGATCGCAAGGTCAGCAGACTGAGACCATCCTGGCTAACACGGTGAAACCCGTCTCTACTAAAAACACAAAAAATTAGCCGGGCGTGGTGGCACACGCCTGTAGCCCCAGCTACTTGGGAGGCTGAGGCAGGAGCATCACTTGAACTCGGGAGGCAGAGGTTGCAATGAGCCTCAAAAAATAAAAATAAAAACAAAAACAAAAACAAAAAAGCAGGTGGCTCACACCTGCAATCCTAACACTTTGGGAGGCTGAGGCGGGTAGATCACTTGAGGTCAGGAGTTTGAGACCAGCCTGGCCAACATAGTGAAACCCCATCTTTACTAAAAATGTAAAATTAGCCAGGCATGGTGGCCAGCACCTGAATCCCAGCTACTTGGGAGGCTGAGGCAGTAGAATTGCTTGAACCCGGGAGGCGGAGGTTGCAGTGAGCCAAGATCACACTATTGCACTCCAGCCTGGGCGAAACTCTGCCTCAAAAAAAAGAGAAAGAAAATGAAATGCGGACTGTCTAACAGAGGCTGGGAAATAACAGAAAGAAAAGCAGCTACAGGGTTTATCCTTTTCTAACATCAGGAGCCACCCTAATCCAGTAATGGGACCAGGAAAGAAGTTCCATAAGGAACTCTAGGGGCTGATGACCCCAGAAAAAGTTGTATATGTGGTGTCCCCTTCACCCCTATAAAAAACTAAAGTATCTGTAATGGATATTCAAGGCTATATGACAACTCAGGCTTTGATAAGTCAGGACCTACCATCACTAAGTAAGGCATTTAAGGTGAAGAACATGTTAACAGTGTTAAGAACACTACTACATTTTTACTGCTCAAGGAAAATTACAGTCTGAAAACTCCTCGTGTACAAATCAGATAATCCTGTCATCATACCTGTACCATCAAAGCTGCTATCTGGTAAAATTAATGATTTGTTTCTTTTCTTTATGTTCTTTCCTTTTTCTGCGGTACTCTCAGCTTCATGGATACACTCCACATTAAACCACAGTGAAACACTGAAACCTTCTGATAGGTGTGGCCAGCAGTTTTGCCCCAGCAACGGCAGGTGGACTGGGGCTATGTGCCAAGATGAAAGCAGCCGATGGGGAAAACTCTCTCTATCAGCCTCTTTCTTGCTCCGTGAAACTCGTGCTCTTCTCAATAAACCCATGGCCTTACTGTTTAAAATCCCAGGATACTTTTGTGATGAAACACCGTTGCTTAAATTTGGAGTGTGCAGTAAAGGGAAGGTTAGATACTGTGAAGGGCTCATAGTAGTATCACTTTCAATAATTTTCAGAATACCTAGAAGAAGAATTTTCTAGAGAAAAGGAAAAACAAATGAAACTTTCTAATCACATAATAAAGTACATAATAATCTTGAAATTTATGTTATACATGAAAATACAAACATACCCATACATATCAGTATTCCTATTTAAATATCTTCCTATCTCCCACATCTTTAAAATTTTCATTTTTTCATAGCTGAGATAAAATATGAAACAGATTTCATTCTTTTTGTTTTGTTTTGTTTAAGACAGAGTCTCACTCTGTTGCCCAGGCTAGAGTGTAGTGGCATGATCTCGGCTCACTGCAACCTCTGCCTCCCAGGTTCAGGCTATTCTCCTGCCTCAGCCTCTGGAGTGGTTGGGATTATAGCTGGGATTACCCCCACCACCCCCAGCTAATTTTTGTACTTTTAGTAGAAACAAGGTTTCATCATGTTGGCCAGGCTAGTGTCGCACTCCTGACCTCAGGTGATCCACCCACCTTGGCCTCCCAAAGTGCTGAGATTACAGGCGTGAGTCACCATGCCCAGCCTTCATTCTTAAAATATGTAATCTTTTGTGGTTAATTTGTTTCATGTTTAGTTTTTTTTTTTTTTTTTTAGACTGAGTTTAGCTCTTATTGCCCAGGCAGAGTGCAATGGTACAATCTCAGCTCACTGCAACCTCTGCCTCCCAGGTTCAAGTGATTCTCCTGTCTCAGCCTCCTGAGTAGCTGGGATTACAGGTGCATGCCACCACGCCCAGCTAATTTTTGTATTTTTAGTAGAGACGGGGTTTCATTATATTGGTCAGGCTGGTCTCGAACTCCTGACCTCAGGTGATCTGCCCGCCTCGGCCTCCCAAAATGCTGGGATTACAGGCGTGAGCCATGGTGCCCTGCCTTAGATGTTTTTTTGTTAAAATTTTTATTTTTAATTTTTGTGGATACATGGTAGGTACATATATTTATGGGGTACCTAGATTTTTTGATACATATTTAGATTTAATAGTTATGATTTGGTTTTAAATTTTAAATTAAAAATAATACTTATATCAAGAATCATTTCTACTAACGAAAAATGTTTATTTCTAAGTAAACTATGGTTCTTCTCCCAATTATTTTTAAAGCAGAGATATAACCAGAGACATTACATATTCTCCAGATTTCTGACTTTAGAGCATGACTGTCTTCATAAAACTGAGTGTTCAATTACTTTCCAATTTATTTCACATGATTTTTTCATATCAAGTAAATTTTCTTTCATCTGTGTTTGGCAAACTGAAACAAGGTTTTAAACTTTTATTTATATTACAAGTTTTTGGTTAAACTGAAATGTAGAATTTATAGAAAATACAAGAGGAAATGCACATTTAATTAAAGGCAAGAACAATGACTAAGGAGAGAGAAGAAAAAAAATAAAAAAGATTAACCTAGTACAATGTCCTATTCATGCTTAAAATAACACCTGATGTTGATTATGATAATGACAAATATACTTAGAAGAAGTAATAAAAAAGCATTCCACAAATATAGCAGCCAGTTTTCAATGATCTACACTAGTGATTTTTAACCCATGTTCCACAGAGCTCCCTTAGGAACCTTGGGACTGGAGCAGGGTGATAAAGTGGGCAGGGCTCTGGAACATCCAAATCCCACCACGAAGTAGCTCCAAAGTTTTCTGTCTTATTTGCTTATGCTTCTAGTCAAGGTTTCATTATAAAAAATGGGTTTCCTAGCAAATAATAGTTTAAAAGACACTACCACACCAATGGAAAGGGGAAGTGTAGACAATAACTGAAGAGTATAGTGGATAATAACCTTTTGAGAAGGATAATCCCTAAGATGGTTATAACTATTCACAATTAAGCTCTCTTTAGTAATTAAAATTATTCAGCTTTTCTGAAGCACAAAAATTGGACATGGGGTGGGTAAAGAAAAGATAATCTCAGTGATATGTCTGGTTAATCAAAATTGAAGTGAAATGGTTAAAATATATGCAAATAATTGAGCATTTCACACATAATAAGAAATTGACTATACCAATTGTCACATCAAAAGAGCTTAGTAACATTTCTAAATAATTAAAAATACATTCTATTGAAAATTATAAGTGAAAGAATTTATCAATGAAAAATGTAAAGATTATAGCATATTTACTGTGCAAGGAGATTTCTCCAGAAATATTCTCAAAAGAAGGGTTAGCTCTTCTGAACATGTTCTTGAACTCATCAAAGATACCAAAAGATCCACCAATACTTTCTGGCATGCTAAATTAAAGAAAGAGGAAAAAAATTAAGGCTAGTACACAATTAGAGGAACAAATGAGCAATTTCACCAAAAGAGCTAAAATACTATTGTCACTTTTTGAATGAATTATAAAAAATCTAGTATAGCAATCACAAAATTTGCTGAAGAAATAGCCATATAACTAAATGTAAATCAACCAACCAACCGTCAAAAACAACAAAAACTTTTCTTTTTAATATTATTATTTTTTTAGACAGAGTCTCATTCTGTCACCCAGGCTGGAGTGCAATGGCATGATCTCAGCTCACTGCAACCTCCACCTCCCAGGTACAAGTGATTCTCCTGCCTCAGCCTCTCGAGGAGCTGGGACTACAGGCATATGTTACCATGCCCAGCTGATTTTTGTATTTTTAGTAGAGACGGGGTTTTGCCATGTTGGCCACGCTGGTCTCAAACTCCTGACCTCAGGTGATCCACCCGCCTCAGCCTCCCAAAGTGCTGGGATTACAGGCGTGAGCCACCGTGCCCGGCTGGCATGAGCTCACTTTTCTTAAAGATTAATTAGCTACAAATAAACTAAGGGCATTCTTTAAAGAAGCATAAATCAACATAATATTTGTTAAGCTAATACTTCTATATAATAAAATAGTCTGCTAACTTCTAATCTTGAAAATGTTTAAATTATATCTATCACTTTTTAAGTACAAAATTAGATGACAAGTAGTGGAAATATTAAAGATGATTTAAATACTTAAATATCACCAACTATTTAGTTTGAACATTTTCTTTATTCCATCATAGGTTTAGCACAAAACATAAATGGTGATACACAAATTCACAGAATTCTTTAGAGCAAAATAATAACTAATATTTGTAGAGCAAATTATAGTGTTCAAAGTATTTTTACATGCTTTATTTCAGCTGATCCTCACCAAAAACAAAAAAACCCTACAAAATAAATATTATCTCCACTTTGACCTGAAAGAAATAATCTTGATTTAAAACCTGAGATAAGTTTTAAAGATTGGTAGTTTTGGAAGACCTGGAGGTTAGAGAATAGAAGCTGTATTTAAGCAACATATTTTGCAGAAGCAATGAGCTGACACAGTAGCAAAATAGTACATACATCTGGACAGACTACTTGCAATGAGACCATAAAATAGCATGGACTTTGTCTTGTACGTAACATGAATCCATTAAAGGTTTTTAAGTAGGAAAAAAATATGATCAAAGTGTGTGTGCTTAGTTTTTTGTTTTTTTTTTTCCAGTTCAAAAGTAACAGACTCCAGTTAAAAATGGGGGAATGGATATATACACTTGCTTCTGTGTACTACTGAAAACTCACAGCATTAAAGTACAGAATTATAAGAAGGAAGAAACCCATAACAGCAAAAATATGTGGGGGCAGTGGGCATTGGGGCACATCTAGTGAAAGATTTTAAAATATTTCTTGAAGATGGAAAAGCAGATGGATAAAAGACAAAGCTGCAACCTAGAATTTCTTTGAATTAAAAAGAGGTTCAGAGCAGTAGGAAACCGAGCTGTCCATCTAAGGTCTGGAGAGAAAGTGAGAGTGCGGCTGACAATACAGGGATTAATGAAAGGTCTCTCTGTGAATATCCACCTCTCTCCTGTTTCTCAGTACAGAGCACAGATAGTTCAGTATTCACTTTTAGGTCCCAAACCTGATAACTCTTCTCTAAAGAAACGAAGTGGATTACCAGGCAAAAGCTCAGGTGTATATAGGCTTTTAGCATCACGGCTACCGAGTATAACTGTCCAGTCTGCAGACTGAACAAACTGCCTAACCAGAGGGAAAAGCAGAGACTAAAATAAAGCATGAATGCTGTATGCCAAGCCATGTATCCTAGTTTTGGGCTGTGATGCCTGGATCAAGAAAGGGATGCCTTTTTTCTCAGCACAAAGACACTATAAGCCAGCCAAGCCCTATATGTGAAAGATGCATTTTTCTAAGGTATGCAAACTGCCATGCAGGGTAATAGTATCCCTAATGGTCCCCCAAAGTAAAGCTCTCTTCATTACAGTGTTTGTGAAGCCCCTAATCATCCAACGGCACATTCACACAGAGCTCTTCAACATACTACCCACTCAGGAAAGAGGCCAAAATAGAAAATAAATTCACTTTCACAGTATTAGAGGAAATCTCCAACAGTTTTACTAAATATAAATAGGCTTAAAAGGTTCATAAAAAATTAGAGAATTAGCAACCTAAAGCAGTAAAAACAATACTTAAAAAAACAAGAAACAGACAAAACTGACCCCAGAGGAAAATGAGATAATTTGGGGACAGAAGAAACTTTAAGATGTTTGTTACTATAATTAAATATATACAAGGAGATATTATATCCTTATATGAAAAAGAAATAACCAGAAAACAGTCAAGCAAAAAAGAGTTCTTAAATATTAAAATTACCAAAATGAAAAATTAAATAAAAGGTTGGGATTGAAAAAATGTCTCAAGATGTAGCATAAAAACAGTGACATAGTCAATATGACAGGAAAGATAATCTTATCTCTGCAAGATCAATTGGGAAGGCTCAAGATTACAATTAGAATACAAGAAAAAAAAGAGAAGGGAATATGGAGAGGAGAAAATTATTTTTTAAAATAATAACGCTTCATGATCCTGTATTAGATCTAAGATATGACACTAAAAGCAAGGCAATGAAAGTCAAAATAGACAAATAGGACTTCATAAAAATCTTTTAAAACGTGCTATCAAAGTAAACCATCAAGAAAGTGAAGAGACAGCACAAATAATGGGAGAAAATATTTGCAAACCACATATCTGATGAGGACCTTCCATCTAGAATATATAAAAAAACTCTTACTATTCAATAATCAAAACACAAATCACCAGTATAAAAATGGCTGAAGGATTTGGATAGACATTTCTCTGAAGAAACCCAAAGAAAATATGCAAATAGCTAATAAGCACACTGCTATGGTGTAAATATCTGTCCCCTCCAAAACTCAAGTTGAAATTTGGTTTCCATTGTGGTAGTGTTAAGAGATGGGATATTTGGGAGGTGACTGGGTCATGAGGAGTCTGCCCTCATGGGTGGGATTCATGCCCTTATGAAAGGGAGAGTTCAGCCCCCTTTTGCCTCTTTTCCTTTCTGCCTTTTGCCATGTGAGGATGCAGCAAGAAGGCCCTTGCAAGATGCTGGCACTTTGATCTTGGACTTTCAGTCTCTAGAACTATGAGAAAATAAATTTCTGTTCATTATAAATCACTCAGTCTGTGGTATTCCGTTATAGTAGCACAAAAGGGACTAAGGCACACACAAAGATATACTTAATACATTAGCCTTCAGGGAAATACAAATCAAAACCACAGCAAGATACCACTTCATATCCACTAGGAGAGATATAATTAAAAAGGCATATAATAACAAATGTTGGCAAGAATGTGAAGAAATTAGAACCCTTATACACTGATGGTAAGAATGTAAAATGGTATAGCCATTTTGGGCAATCGTCTGTCAATTTCTCAAATGATTAAACACAGAGTTACCATATGACCCAAAAGAAATGACTCAAGAGAAATGAAAACATATGTTCACACAAGAAAACTGTACGTGAGTGTTCATAGCAGCATTATTCATAGCAGCAAAAAAGTAGGACAACCCAAATGTCCATCAACTGAAGAATGGAAAAATCAAATGCAGTATACCCACACAGTGGAATGTTATTTCAGCCAAAAAAGAAAAGAAGCAGAGAAGGGGAAAAGTAACTTTATAGTGGAGAGACCTGACAAACACTACTTAATGCAAGTGATCAGGGTCAACATCAGCAATTATAAATCATGTTGACAATATGTACCCTTGATATGATTTAATGGCAATGGCACTTTGCTTCTATGATCTTCCTCTCAAAAGTCCATACCCCTAGTGTAATCATGACTTTTGACCAAGGTGCCAAAACTTTCATTCAATGGGGGAGGGACAGCCTCTTCAACAAATGGTGCTAAGAAAATTGGATATTCACATGCAAAAAAAATAATAATAAAATTGGCTCCTTACCTAACACCATATACAAAATTTAACTCAAAATGAATTCAGGACCTAAATGTAAAACTATATATCTCTCAGAATAAAACTTACGGGGAACACTCCATAATATTGGATATGTCAATGATTTCTTAGATATGACACCAAAGGTACAGCCAACTAAATAAAAAAATAGATAAACTGGACTTCAAAATGAAAAACTTTTGTGCATCAAAGGATACTATCAACAGAGTAAAAAGACAACCCACAGAATAGAAGAAAATATTAACATATCACATATCTGATAAGGAATCAATATCCAGAATATATAAAGAACTCTTAAACCTCAACAACAAAAAAAGAAACAACCCAATTCAAACATAAGCAGAGGGCTTGAATAGACATTTCTTCAAACAAGATATACAAATGGCCAATAAGTACATGAAAAGAGGTTCAACATCACTAATCATTAGGGAAATACAAATCAAAATCACAAGATAGCACAATGAGAAAAATGTCAAACAAATTCTAATACAGGGACATTCTTCAAAATACCTGACCAGTGTCCCTCAAAACTGTCAAGGCCAACAAAAACAAGGAAAGTCTGAGAAACTGTTACAGTCAAGAGGTACCTAAGAAGACATGACAACTAACTATTATGTAGTATTATCCTGGATAAAATCCTTGAACAGAAAAAGGACATTATGTAAAAATTTAAGAAATCTGAATTATGGACTTTAGTCAATAATAACATATCAATATAAGTTCATTAATTATAATACATACATCACAAAAAGTTAGATGTTAATAATAAGGGAAACTGGCAGGGAAGGGTGTAATGAGGGAACTCTATAATAG